CCAGACCAGGTTGCGCCCAGCCTCATCCAGCCTGGCCTTGGACACTTCCAGGGATGGGGCATCCACAGCTTCTCTGGGCACTGTCCCAGTGGTCCCCACCCTCTCTGGGAATAAAGGGGAAAATAGCCCAAGCCTAAAGCAGGTTAATTCTGGGTGGCCGCTGGCAGTTCGGATGACAGCAAGCGTGCTCCCCACTGCTTCACCGCTGGCTGGGGCTCGCATGTTCTCGTGCCCACTGGAGGACGTCTGGAGCTCATTCCCCCTGAGGAGGGCATGGTGCTGCAGGCGAAGAAACAATGCAGTGTCTGTGTGGTGGGGCCTGGGCACCCGTTCATGGGGCAGACTGGAGGGACTGACCCTTCTGGTCTGTCGGTTGAGCTGCCCAGAGCATCTCCTGAATCCACAGCTCTGGTGCTTGCTGGAAGCCTAATGCATTGATCTGCTTAGGCCTTTGTTCCCTCAACGCTGTGTCACAAAGAGGTTCTTTACAGGAGCAGTGAGAAAACCAGGCTGGGCTGCATCTTCTCCACAAAGGACTCTGCCCGCCTCCAGCTCTCGAGACATCATTTGAAGACAGACTGCTCACACATCACATCGCACGTCAAATGTGAGACTTTTAGCTAAAAAGAGTATTTCATTCGTGGCCCACACAGGGCTGCTGGCAGAACTGGCTGAGCCACGTTCTGTGCCCAGCCCCTGCACACGCCAAGGCAGCACGAAGGACAGAGGACGGCAACGACTGTTGTGGCCGTGAGGTGACAGGTTTAGGACAAAATTCAGACACCACCGCACAGCACCAAAGCACAACGCCACAACGCAGAAGCAACGGCACGACGTCATTCACCTCAGCCTCGTGGCCTGGGGTTTTGTGGGAAGGTGTCAGGACATGGTGAGAAACAGAGCAGAAGGATGGGGTCTCCATCACGGGAGCCTCTGCCCCCTCCAGCGTGTCTGAGTCTGGGATGGCTAAAGACACATTCTCACAGCTCAGCGTCTCCTTCAAATTGGGGAGATAAAAAGCATCAGTAGCAGAGCAAGGCTGGGTCTTAATGCTTGAACACATTTGCCCCGTGGCACTTCCTAGTTGCCCTGTTGATCCAGAGCAGGAAGGAAGAGAAAAGGAAATGTGGGCTGCAAAAACTGCCACAAACGGTAAGAAAATATAGAGCATCTTAAACACCTTCCAAAGTGCCCATGCCACCATGGCAGGATTAGTCATACGGAGCTCTACGGACTTAACCTCTTCCGTGCAGCTAGGAGGGAGCGTAGCCTGGAGCTGCCAGCCATCCACACCTGCCTGGAACAACCCTGGTGTCTGCGATGGGAGTGAGGACATCGCCCAACCCAGCCCAGCCGCGGTGCCCCTGCCTCACTGCCGCACAGGCGAGGGGTGGCCCTGGGTTGCACATCCTCATCCGCACTCGGGCAATCTTGTCTGCAGGGGAAACCTGTGGCCAGCCCCCTGCTCACGCCGTTCTGCCTCTGGGGAGCATCACCTCTCCCTACGGGTTTCCTAGGGCTAAGGAGAGGCTCTGCATGGCTCCTGGTGTGCTCAGGAGGTATTGGAAGATGAGGAAAACCCAAGGAGAATGAGCTCAGTTTGCAATCACAGCCTATGTGAAAGGATGTGTCTGCTCTTCCCCCAGTGAGAAAAGCAACCTGGGTGTTTATGGTGCATTTTCCTGCAGAAATGTCTATTAGAAAGCACATTCAATAGTGAATTCCCCATCGCTGTGTAACTAGATTCCTTTTTGCTTGACTTAATAGAGTCTGATAGATTTTACAAAAATCTAATTTAATGTAATTTAATCTCAAATCCCCCATTGATTTCGCAGCAGATTTATTTGCGATCACAGTGACAAAGCAATTTCATATTCACTCTTAATCATATGCTGCTGACTTTGGATGAGACAATTATCTCATGTCTCTCCTTCTCCCCCTGACATCCGATTGCCCTGTTTTTCTAGAGGACTAATAGAAATCAGAGAGCCGGGAGTGTCTGCAAAATCAGCCCAGGAACCTCCAGCTTCTGGCTGAGGGCCTCTGACAATTCCCAGGGTCCAAGTCCTCCATGCCCTAAGCAGCCAGTGGGAAGCTGCATCTTACACCAGAGCCAGACATGCCCTCCTCAGCTGCGCACTACGTTCTGCATAAGGCTCCTCTGGAAATCCCAAAGTGGGATTAAAAAGAACCTGAGCGGTACTTATGTGTGTGTGAAGGGAATTTATTCCATCCCTTGCTGTGTGTGTCAGGGTTGACAGTGCCAGCATTCCCAGGCTTTATGAGACTGCTCCCTCGTGCTGCTGCCCCTGCTAAAATGACAGGGACAGATGCGCTGACTGGGACAGCTGGAGAGGGACCTGAGGCTGTTACGCTTCTGAACTTAAAACTCACCACCTTTGATTGAACTGGAGATTGGCAAGAGAGAGACTTTCAGACCTCCCCCAGAACAATGGTCAGGACAGCACTAGTCCTGGAGAACACGTTTCAAGCACCCCTCCACCCCGGGGAGCCCTCCTGAGATGACGCAAGACGCGGAGGCGGCAGTGACATCTCTGCCGCAGGGGACCCGGAAAGCTGCCTTCCTCCCACGCTGCCTTGCCTCCTGCCTGTTCCGCTCTGCGTCACTCGGGATCTGACTGCCTGATGACCAGGGAGCAGCAACTGGTGAGAACCGTCCCCTCCCTACCCTCAGCACAAGAAGAGTAGATGGCTCGTGTGAACTATTACCAGGGCATGGTGCTTCACCTGCACCGCTGACTCCGACTTCGCGGTCTCCTGACTCCTGTAGGGTGGTCTGCTCTCCGGAGCCACTGCGCATCCCCGGCTCCCACTGGTAGGCGAGGTGGTTGCTCCTCTGGACATCTCCAACTCAATCTCAGCATCCATCTCCGCATCCTCCTTGGCCTCCTTGTTGCTCTCCTCCAAGTGCTTCATCAGCACTGCCACCACCACGTTGACTAGAACAAACTGTGCGATGAGGACGAAGGTGACGAAGTAGACAGGAGAGATAACTGGCAGGTAACTGAGGCAGTGCTTGTCCTCCCGAGTGCATTCCCGGAGGGTGTCCTGCAACACAGAGCGAGAGGGATTCATTAGGGCTGGGGCTGTGCTTGGGCTCCAGATACAGAAACATCAAAGACAAGTGGCCAAGGACTGAAAAGCATGTAACTACATATCCCACACACATAGCTTGTAGGTACAGCTAAAATGGATAGAAGAAAATATGGACACTATGAATCAGTTTATTATAACCTTTTTGTGTTACAAAAAGGTTTGTGTTACATCCTAAAGGCACTCCTCTCAGCCACAAGAACAGACATCATTTTCCTGAAGTACTATATATACATGTTAAAAAGAACGAAGGTTCAGGTCGGGCGAGACTTAGGACAAATTATCCTGTGAAAATATACTTGGCTTTTAAATAGGAAAGTTTAATTTTTATGTTTTAAAAGGCAAGCTTTTTTTGTTTTCATACAAGAGGTGCTTGAATTTGTTTGAAATCTGTACATCTATGTATCTACACAGAGAAGAAAGTAACCAAACAGAGATTGCACACACCTTCATGATGCCATTCCAGTTGTCCCCCGTTGACACCCTGAAGAGGGTGAGAAAGGCCATGCCGAAGTTGGTGAAAGTTGCGTGCCGGCTCAGACCTTCACAAGGATTTTCCTCACTGCAGTCTGCAGGAGAGAGAAGCAGAAGCATGTCAGTGAAGCCACGTTTGGCAGTGCTCATTCAGAGCAGCCCCCCAAGCCGGCAGTGAGACCCTGAGATACGTCTCATGGCGTCAGGGAGGACTGCTAAGTGGAGATCTCGTGGTGGCTGCAATGACTCGAGGGCAGCTGCGAGACCATGTAGCCAAACTCTTCTCAGTGGAGGTGGATAATATAAAGGACAACAAGACACTTAGGAGGTCCAGGTTGAACACTAGGAAAGTTGTTTTCACCTGCAGGGCCTGACAGCCCTGGGACAGGTGAGCATAGACGTAGGGGAGCTCTGTCGTTGGAAATTTTCAAGATTTGGCAAGACAAAGCCATGGCTACTCTGAGCTAGTGATGGGGCTTGAAGTGGGAGGCCGGGTGGGGGCTCCAGACGTCCTTCCACCACATCTCTGTCGTTCTCTTGACTTTGCCCCAACTGGCAGAGCCAGGACAGAGATCTAAAAGGAGGTGGAAACAAGCAGGCTGACTGGGGTGTCTCAAGAAATACTGCTCTACAGTGTCCTTTGTCTGTTATCCTCTTGATTCATCTTTGTCATGATTGTTTTTCACAGGGCACGCCTACCATGAGGGATATTTCACAGAGATAAAGTGGAGCAATTTGACATGTTTTCCCCTGAGAATTAATATACTAATGAATGGAAATTAAACATATGAAATGTCCCTCTTTCTGTAAAACACAGCCTCATTAAATATTCACGAGGACAGGCAGCAATGCCTGTTGCAAGAGCATTTCACTACTAGGTGTTTATTTCAGAGGCAAAGAGGAAGGAAAACCAGAAAAGCAAATAGAAACAAACCCCACAAATGACCAGTCTGGGAAGAGCGAACACCTGATGGTTCTCGTGGCTAACACGGACCAGCAGTGATCGGGAAAAACAAGTGGAAGTACTTGCCAGTGAAATCAGGGTGGGAAGCAGTGTGCTGACTGCCTGCAGCTGGCCCCAGACAAGACCAGGGCTCTCCCAGTCTCTGACCACGCGCCGTGGCTAGCTGGGGGCTGGCACTGGCAGGGCATGTGTGTGGAAACACAAGAAGGATTCAGAGCAGCAGAAGGTGCCTCTGTGAATAAGACATTTTTCACCTTTGTTGCTGAACAAATACATGTCTATATATCTAGATATGTCAAATAAAACCCCACAGTATTTCATTTGGGGTGGATGCAGAACTCATTCTTTTTCCTCAGAATTTGTTGGAGACTGAAAAATAACTTGTCTTTGGTTGAAAGAAATATTCTGCTTTCAGGCATTTGTAATCTGAGCAGAGGGTTGGACTCATAAAGAGGATTAATGACAGCCATAAAATCACTGTGGAGGAAGGTCCCTTCTGATGCTCTTGAAGCCTTAATTGGGATGCAACATGGAGACACATCTCCTTCGAACAGCGTGTTTAAAGGCAGTGACTGCTTTGGCCTAGCTAAGCTGGTCAAGGTAGGGAGGGAGTGTTTTCTCTCTGACTCTGCCTGATTTTCTTTTTAGCAGCGGACACACTCATGACCAGCTCTGCAGTATCCTCAAGGCGGAGGAATAAAGGATGCTGGATAATCAGGAACCAGTGAATGCTTCCTGATTTATGTAGAAAGGGGAAGGTGACGCTGAGAAGAAAAATGGACAGACAAGACTTGGGCAGCTGGAAGAGCAATGTCAGCCAAGTGCAGAAAACTAATGGAGTGCGGTGGAAGCTCTGAGGAGGGACATGTTTACGGTGGCATCTCTCCAGCATGAATCTGACTACCATCCAGCTCTACAGACTCATGTTCTGTCTTAAGTAGCAAACTTCCATCTTTGTGAATATATCTGTGCTGGACAACTGTATTTAAACAGTAAATAGTTCCTCTACAGCCAAGGGTGGTGTCGGACAAATCTCTGAATGTGTGTGTGCACGTCAGGCAGGTTCTGTATTATATCCTCATGTCTCATCTGCGACCTCGAGATCAAGAGAAAACTTTAATCTTCAGACCATGAGCTGTGAAGCTAAGGAAGGCCCAAGAATGAGAGAGAGAAGAGAGGAAACAGCTAGATACCAAATAAACATCAACCGGATGAAATAAATTGTGTCAGGCACATTACTCACCTAGTTTGCCAAACAATTCCACTCCCAGTGCAGCATAGATAAAAAACAGGAGCATAAAAAGTAGGCCAAGGTTCCCTACCTACACAGGGAGAAAGCAGAACAAGGGTCAGGCAAGTTGAGGTCACGAATCACATTGCATTTTCAACACAAGTGAAAGAGGGACTGGTGGCCAGAGGCTAATGGTCATCTCCCCTGGCGTCCAACACCCTGGTCCCCTCTCACGGTTCTGCTTCAACAGACCCAGAGAAGTCTCCTGCGGTGGGGAAGGAGCAGATGCTCCCACGGGCAAAGCAGTTTCTGTGGCTGGTGCCTCTCCATCGCCCTTCCACTTACCCAGGGTGCTGCCTTCAGCTGTAATTCAGCCAACCCATAGCTGTAGCTCCAGCAGCACTTCAGTGCAGTGGTACTTTAAGTGACCTGGTGCTCTGGTTTGAGTTTTAAGGGCCTTTCCCTTCTGTTTGCCAGATTTGAGCAAACTCTGAGCACGAAGGCTGAGGTGTGACATTAATATGTCCTGAGCCACAAGAGGAATGGCCCGGTTTGCAAAGGTTTTGCTGGCTTTCAGAAAAGGAACATGTGCTCCAGTAAGATGTAAGGCTCTCCTAGCGTTGCTGCTTCACAGATATTTCTCGACAACAACTACGTGAATTTCAGCTTGCAGTGTCTCAAAAGAAAAGCCTTGTCCCACATGCCACCGCTAAATGCAGGCACCTTGCAGTCCCAGCACTGCGCGGTGTGATGCTGTTAGGTATCGACGTGCACTGCAAGGGGGCTGAAGGGGACGGTAACAGGAGTGCAACGGTGCTGATGGGAACAAAAGGTGCTTAATGCCAACGGCATTACAGTTATCTGCACTAGAGTCAATCTCTACATGGGCTCAAAGCCTGTAAAACATCTCAAAGAGGAGATTTTTTGGGATTCAAACAGAGAACACAAAGGGCAGCGTAACCTGCCCAGCTAAGCACCTGCATTTCACCTGCAACTAACTGGTCACACTTACCTTTCCTGCCACTTCTAAATGCCTTGTGTTTATTGGCTTTAAGGGAGACACTGCGATCGAGGTCTGCAATCAGACACGGTGCCACAAGCATCATTTTATCTCTAAATTAAAATGAACTAGGTGGCGATTCAGGTAGTCAGGCCGAGGGATTGATGATCTCCAAGGTATCTTCCAGTGAATACAGTTTGAGGGAGCTTTCTTCTCTGATGCAGCACAGCCACGGCGTAGCCGGGTGTTTTGACCATGCTGCTTAATTTCATTAGAAAGGTTATCAATGTGATACCCGTTATCCTAAAATTAACACAACTCTCACTTATGAAGTAGGTATTTTTTGTATTAAAGAAATGAGAATAGTCAAATCACCCAGTGGAGACTGTAATTGCTGTAACGCCTAAACTGGCTACTACACACAGAGCTTTGCAATTCCACTTACAGTATTACCATACTCCAGGGAATAATAGAGATAATACAGTGATGTGGATGGCTGGTCTGGATTATTTCATCTGCATTTACTGTCTTCTGGAATAGCGTTTCCTAACTCGTGTCTGCTGGACCACCGGTGGTTTGTAAGACATTAGAAGGCAGTCTGCAAAATGACTGCAAAGTGGAACACACAAGCAAACAGGCGCACGTGCAAACGCACACACACACGCTGACGGGGAGGCAAATGAGTGAATAATTAAAGGGAAGGAAAATAAAAGTGATAAACAAGTTTTCTAGGCTGAGTGTGTATTAAAGCCTGATGCTGTAGCACTGCAGGAGAGGGTCTTGGATTTTTTTCAAAGAAGCCTATAAGCTGAATATTTTACTGCTGTTTTAATGCCTAATAAATCAGTCTGCAAACTTTTGGCATTGATGAAATTCCAAAGAATTCAGACTAACATCAAAGTTATTACCAGGTTATCAGTCAAAACTATTATCTATTTCTCAACATGCAAAGCATGTTATGAGCTGACATTTGCTCATAAACTATTTGCCTACTATCTAGTGTGCATTTGTATAAGATACTGTATTTATCACATTACTGAACCAATGTGTCTCATAACTAGTCTTTCAAACCAGTTTCCACTCCTGGGTTTGCTGTACGGGCTCAAGGCATCACAGCCACGGGCATGCTCTAAAAATGCTACAAGAAGCAGGTTTGCTAACGTGGCGTTTGCTGGCGTCTAAGGCTGCATCTCCCTTGGCTGAGAGCAGACATGTGGGCAGTTCCAAAGCCCAGCTGCTGCATGGGATCTCTTGGGAAGCAACTGAATGTCTGACTCCGGTTTGGAAACGTGGCTCTATGAAAGGGAGATGTGGGAGACAGCAGGGAGTGAAAGATCCTGGGATGGGTGATGGGACCACCTGCACTGCTGGACTCCATCCTACCCTGTGTCTACACACCCAGAGCTGCACAAGAACAACCTGCTGCCCTGGCTACCCCCTGCGTGGATATGTGCAGGCACCTCCTGCGGCTGGGGAGGGCAGCCCCCAAACATCTGATGCTCAAGAGAAAGTGGCTGAGCAAAATGGCTCACCTCTTGCTTAGGTGCTTCAGCAAAACCCCTTCGTCTATTTGTGCAGCTTCTGACTGTGCTGAATCCGTTCAAGTCAGTGCCAGATGCAATATTGTGTCACTGCTAGCCCATGGCTCTCTGGTATGTGTCCCTCAGGAAAGGAAGGAAAGGTCCTCTTCAGCCCATGGCCTTCACCAAGGCCGGAGCACAGAGAAGGGCCCAAGGCATGTTCTCAGAGATGGGCTGAGATGGAGGCAGCGCGGTCAGCCGGCGGCTGCTGCGTAGCGGAGAAGGCAGACTGTGTGCCTGCGACCTTGAGTGAGTCATCCCTCTCCTGTAACTCAACGTACCCATTTGTAATACCCTTGTGGATAGGTAATTAATGTCTCTAAAGCACTCTGAGATCTACTGAGACCAGACAAGAAAAAGATCGTACATGAATCATGTTGCTGGCAGGAATGGGAGGGGGCAGGAGCACATCCAGGCACTTTTCTCCTGCAGTCAAAGGCTGGGATGCGTGTGCTGGACTCTCCATTAGGGACAGAGATCCAACTCTGGTCAGCAACCTCATCTTTGGCAGCCGGTCACCCAAGCAGGCTCTGAGAAGTGGTTCTGCTCTAGCAGCACCGAGCAGGTCAGCCCATGCTCTGTTTATCCATCAAACTCCCCCTGACTTGGGCTGGTGCCTTTGGAAACCACAGATAACCCGTTTCTCTGGCAGCCAGGGGCTATCCATCATTTGCTGTGGCTCCAGTGTTGAGGGGAGGCTGTGGCCTGTAGGGAGTGAAGCAGAGATGAAGAACATCTTGGAGATGTTCTTGGTGCCCCAAAGTACCTCAGAGAAGCCACAAGAGAAGATGGAGATACTGATGAATATATGCGATCCCTCCTGGACCTTCCCTTTCTGGCATCCTGGCTGTCACAATCTGCTGGCAAAAGGCTCTGTGTGCCTGGGACAGATGGATACTGTGGGAAGAGAGGCAGAGTCCTCCATCTCAGCCAGAGGAGCAGGGAGGCCCTGTGTGAGGAGCTACCACCCTTCACCATGCTGCATCCCAGCTGGATCTGTGATCTACCACTGCAATAACCCTGCAATAACCCTGCTCAGCAGCAAGGAAAGCAACTCTCCTCTCCACACACCCAGTACCACTCTTCTCCCACTCTCCCTGCATGGCCCGGGGTGGCTGTCTCTGCTTTAGCTCTTGTGGACATCACTGCTGTTAGTTTTTTGCCTTCCCCTAAGCGAGTCTGCAGTAGCCAAGCACCGCTGCATGTCCCATCCGAGTTCTTCAACCTCTGACCGCCACCACTAAGTAAAAAGCCTGTAGTTGCAGGTAGATGGAGCAGCTATACCAGGTTGTGTTAGCCTGATATGCAGGTGTGTTGCACTGACCACGTACAACAGGACACTGGTCGCACGGCTGCTGTCATCGCTCCTGCAGCGTCAGCTGTGTGATCCTACCCCAAATCCTCCTTTATGCTCTGTGCTCTAGGAGAGGCACGGATGAAATGCATGTCTTCTGCTGTCCCACTCCTGCAGCGGCCGGCTGTACAGCTCCTCTTGTGCCTCTTCCTGCTCTGACATCACTTATTTCTGCATCACTGGCCCACACCTTGACATTTCAGCTGTCCATTCAGGCAACGCACACAGCTCCCTGGAATGCCTGTCAAGAGCAATTTCTCATAAAACTAAGCTCCTGCCAATCCTTTCCAAGGACACGAGTCCTCCTCCTCTCCCAGCACTCTCCAGCCAAAGCAATAATCCTGGCAGCAGGAAAACAGGCTAATTTATGCACTAGACTCAAGAGGAAATGGACACATTTGCTTGGAAAATGGAGGCCATCTGTGTGAATTCCAGGACTAGTGAAAAGGGCCAGACAAACAACCTTGGAGGCAAAAGTTATCTCAATGGTGCAACCACAAGGCCATAGCCGAGCTGGGTGAGCTCCCCTTCCCGTGTGCCCACGCAGCCCTGCGGAGGCCAGCGCTAACAGCCAGCAGAATGGGGGTCGCTTTACCTAATGATTTCTGCTTCGCTCCTCAAATCTCTCGGGCACCTCTGCACTTCTTTCTGCACACACCCCCCTATCCTTCCAGAATCTGTCTCATCCGCAATTCTATCCTTGCCCTCTGAGCTTCACAATCACTGTGGGTTTTCAGTGGCAAAAGCAGGCTGTTTGTGCCCCGTAACTGCTGTTAGACAACCAGAAAACCTCTTCAAGAGCTGAAGTAGAGACAAACACAGGAATTACAGCACTACCATGAGTTAAACTCCTGGACAGGAGCAAGCTACAAACTCTGTCCTTCAGGGTATTGATAGAACGAGGAGGAGTTCACTGTTTTCTTGGCATAGAGTCCATCCGGGGGGAGTTCCAAGCTTTGAAGAGAAAGAGGAGGTATATTGTACAGTCCTGCATTTAATTAATGTGCCGTCCACAGACCAAGTGAGATAAAAGAAGGAAAAAGGACCCAGATCTTTAGATAGGGAAGTTCCACATTTGACTATTCTTGGCCCTGAAGAGCCAGGATGGTAACTGGACTGGATTCCACTTTGTCCTCTCCCTCAGGATGAGCGCTGGCAGCTTGGCATTGACTGCAGGTTTTCTTGCTGGCAACCGATACTGGAAGTGCTGTACAGACTGGGCTGGGCTGCTCCGTAAGGTGGATTCACTTACACAATGAGAATTTTAACCCAGCCAAACGCAAAGTTACAAATCCGACAGTGAAGTGCAGGCCGTGCTACAGAAAGGATGAACTGGACTCTGGAAAGCTGGGAATGTGAAAAGGACTAAAGGATTACCATCAAATAGGAGTCTTGCAGAGCAGACGTTGCTTACACAACTGATGCAGCCACAAGATGTATAAGCAAGGGAATATTCAGCTGAAGCCTAAGAGTGGTATAATTCATTATATAGCCTTAATGGGGCCAGAGGTCATAAAGAAGAGGAAACCACTTGAAACAGGTCTTGAAAGCCTGCTTCATACTGAGAGATTGCAGGAGTTCAATGTTCTTCTCTTTGCCAGACTGCGAGAGACTACTTTCTCTCTTATAGCTCCAAAAAGGAGAAGTTCCAGAAGAAAAAAAGCAAAATTACATCCAATCAAAAAACAAACTCGGCTGATTTAGACTAAAACCATCATATTTTTTTAGCAGCAAGAGTAAACATTTTTCGTATATCATCCATAGGGGATGGCTGATTCCCTAACACTCTGCATCCTTAACACATGACCAGGTGGCTTTTAAAAGCCATGCTGAAGTTGAGGGCAGAGCTGTGTGGCTTGTGATCTGCCAGGAGCCGGCCTCTGCAGTCACAGGGGAGTTTCTGGTCTGTGAACAGCAGCACTGAACCGGCTTAATTAGGGCTGGCAATGTCTAGGTGATGAAGTCAGCGCGGCTCACACTAGCCCAGCTCTTTTCAGCTGCTCAGTTTAAAGTAATGCATCTATTTCAAGTTTACCCCAGTGTAGCTGATTTTAACGCTTCATACTTTAAAGTCCACCACAGATCTCGTTCGTTCTCCACACGGGTATGCCGTGAGGGTACACCTTCCGAGCTGAGGCTGGCAGTGCCTTTCTAGGTGACCACGGCCCCACTGCTAGTTCAACCTCTTGGTCAACCAGCTGTGAAGCTGGAAAACCTTGGATTCCTGTTTGAAAAGGAGATACTGCCTCAAGACTGCACAGGAGTGGGTACAAGAGCCAGCGCTGCACAAGCACAGAGGGACTAGGGCAGGAAGGTGAGGATCAGTTCACACTATCCCATACATTTGCTGGGACAAAGAGGGCATGGAGGTGGTGGGCCAAGAAGGTGTCATTTAGATATCCTTCCCTGACCACTCTTTCTGTTTCTCTAGCCTCTCCCCATCTGCTCTCCTCTACTCCACCTCATGTTTTTGAAGGACATGGTGAAGATCTTTGAACTGGTAGACACAAGGTTACCACACAAGGAGGATGCAATAGGGGAGGAAGTCTTCCAGCACTGAAACCAGAAGCTCAAGGTCAGTCTGAAGTTCCAGAAGAGGAGACTGAGCCTGTACCGTGACAGCTTCAATCTTGAATTAAAATGGTAATTAGCCCCCAAGCCTGAGGTAGTTGGTTCTCTACGTGTTACTCAAGCTATATCTGTTGCTGAATAAAACCAAATAGGAAGCTGATGAAAATCACCCAAAGGAGAAAGAAAAAACAGCGTACAGCAATGACAATACCTTGTCATGGTGAGCCCATAAATGGACATTCTGCATACACCAGACAAAGAATTTTCCCCCAAAACCTTAATGTATAAACATCAAATTAATTTTTCTTGTCACTTAACAGACACATCCAGTGAGGATTTTCCAGCTGTGGTTTTAGGCTCCTAAATCAATTGGGGTAGGAACTCTTCCCCTGCCTCTGAAATGAAAGCTGCAGCTTTATGAAGAGTGATTGTTGTCGGAGAGGTCTTCCCAAACTTCCCTCCTCATTTTCTGAATTTCACTGGAGGACAAAATGCCATTTTTATCTGCACAAGATCTGCTTAGAATATCCCTGGGGATTTCCCTTTAAAAGAGACTTTGGTTTGAATGTGAACTGCAAAAACACCCCAAGGAAACAAAAAGCCTGGCCTGTAGCCACCCTATTGTTTGGGGGTGAGAGAAAACAAGAAGAGAGAGAGAAAATAAGCTCAGTAATCACAATGCTTTCAAAAGGAAAAAATAGACACAAATCAAATGTTTTCTTGAAATGCCAAAACAGGGGTCAGGTTGGCAAATTCCATGCTTTAGTGTTAGCCAAAATCCTTCACTGAAAAGGAAATCTGAATACCAAAGGGCAAATGGCTCAGACTAGAAACATCTTTATGGCAGTGATGAAAAGTAAATGGGTCTTTCCAAGAAAAAGAAATTCCCCTTGTTTTCCAGTTCCTTTGAATAGTTTGGGCTTCTTTGCACTTAGCAGCTAACTCATAGGGTATATTTGGGTAATTACATGCACTAGTTCTTCTGATTCTCATATGGCCACTCACATTCTGGAAGAGATGTCTACACAGTGCCTGCTTTTGGCCAAGCACCAGTGCTATCATCCTGCCTTTGAGATATCATCCCTCTGCAGACAGCTGAAGCTGATGGAGATGGGACTGGCACCATGGTGTGCTGCCATCTCCCTGTGCCTATGGGGCTGGGAGGCCTGATCCATCCATCTCAGGGCACACTACACTGACACAGAATGGAGTGGGGCCACTCATGAAGTGACTCAGCTATGGGATGTTTTGGAGGGGTTGAAAACTAAGGATTTGTCTGACCATGCTTGTGCATCCTGGAAGTGCTGCTTCTGAGTCGCCAGCTCAGAGAAAAAGGCTGCAGGGTTCTGCTGCCTCATCACTGATGGCCTGGCACCTCATATGGGCACTCACTTCGGGGTAGAGCATGGCAATAAATGTGTCTAGTTCTGCCTGGTGGGATACAGGATCCTGGTGATAAATAAAATTGGAATGTGTAGGCAGCTTAGCTGACACTAAAACCTGAAATATTAGGACTCAGACCACCAAACCCACAAACTAGCAGAACTCAGCTTAAATAGTGTAAGATTTTAAAAACAAAGGAACCCTAAACTTGGAATTCTTCTGATGTGCTTTAGATCTGTTTGAGGGAGGCAAAAAGTTTATTTCCTTCTTTTTTAATAAATAGTGTAAGATTTTAAAAACAAAGGAACCCTAAACTTGGAATTCTTCTGATGTGCTTTAGATCTGTTTGAGGGAGGAGTGTAAGTCAGCAAAAAGTTTATTTCCTCCTTTTTTAAATAAACGGATCCATAAAAAAGTGGTCCCAGGAACTGGACACTTGAAGGATTCTATCAAACATCATTAAGACTGGCAGCATCGTTTCTCTTGCAGCTCGTGAGAATACGGCGATTGGAGACCCCACTTCAAGCTTTTAACACTCAGAAATGTCTCCCTTATTTGCCTTCTGCAGCCTGCAGTTCCTCTGTCAATACGTTGCAAACATCGTTGCTCCTGTCTCACAAAGAAAACTCCTGAGCTGGAAGCTGTCTACTTCCAATGCTTTCACCAACAGCTTTCTCAGTCTATCCTTGTGTTTCCTGAACTTGCTGGTGAAATCTGTGTTTTAGAAGAGCTCTGCCTACAGCAATCGGCCCTCTGTTAACTCTTTTTCCACCATTCTGGTTCTCCCATCTAACACACGCTATGCGAGCAGGATGTGCCACACAAAACTCTGCTACCAAGGCACTGGTGGCAGCAGAGAAAGCTGATAACCTCCCCAGGTGGCTTCTAGTGCCCACCAAACAGGGTAGCATAGAGCTGTCCCCAGGCCCAAAAGACATAGTCCTCCAAGGGGAAAAAACTAGGCATGGATGAAGTCTGGGGGCTTACCTGGGGAAGCGCTTGTACCACCGTGTCCAGGAGCGCTCGCATCCCCGTGGCCATTTTAAGCAGTTTCAGCACTACAATGAGAATCAAATCCTGGTCAGCAAAGCTGGGAAATACCCCAAGCAAAACCCATAAAGGACACCTAGCTTCAGATCCTGTAGGGAGGGTTTACATCTCTCGCGTCTGTTCATACCGATGGCAAGCTCACTGCAGGGCCCACAGAAAACCCGAATGTCCTGACTACTTCCCACGCCAATTGGTGCTAAGCATATCAGTAAACCGGACCAAAAGCCAGAGGAACTCCAGTGTGCCCTGGCAGGAAAATGGGAGAGTGACAGGAAGACACTTTGGCAGTGAAGAGCATCATCTCCAGCCCTGATTCTCCCTTCTCCACTGCTTCCTGCTCTTGCCTGGTATCAGCATAAAAGGTCTGGGATCCCAGGTTTGAATCAGAGACCCATCTAAGGTGTCAGTGCAAACACCCATGAAACCCCCCCAGCTTGTCTCTGAACTGACATTTTGCAGCCTCGTCGCATAATTGTTCTCAAGTCGAACTGAAACAGCAGGACTAGAAGAAAACATGTCCAAACCATTTCCTGATGTGACTGGAGGGATGGTTGGAGACCTACGGAGCGGGCCGTACCTCTTGCTATTCTCAGCACCCGCATAATGCGTATTATTGTGGGATTGATGGGCAGTGCAGCATTCATCTCAATTTCCTCCAGCGTGATTCCCACAATTGATAAGAGAACTATGGCCAAATCCAGCTGATTCCACCTAAGAGACAATGAGAGAAAGGGCAAAAAAATAATCGTAGATGGACAGACACCCAAGAGTAGAGAATCTGTTAATAACAAGCACAAGCCAATCCCAAATGTCTCTCCTCTCTCGTAACTGGGCTCATCATGAACTCTGCAGCTGGCTGAGCCACAAGCTGCTGTAGGCTCTGACTGGGAAGTGTCCTTGCCTACTTCTTGGTCCCTACTGTCCCTCTGCTATTCACTTGGAGCAACTCTCAGGGACAAGACACTAGGCTAGAGGGGCCTTTGATGGGATGCAATACAGCTGCTCCCACATTATGTCACCTGTCTCTTGAATTACACCACGAGTATCTTCATTGATATATAGCCTAACACTTGTAGAGGCCCTTCCACACCAGCACTAGACAGACAGCGAGATGTGAAGAAACTGTCTTTCCTACGCAGTTTCTTTCCTGAGTAATATTGCTCGTAGCAGCTTCCAACACTCAGTCAGGATGAATGAAGCAAATGAGCTGATTTTATGGAAAAGTGTCCAATCTGTCCCTGCTCCCCAGCAAGTCGCTAGACAACAACGTGCTTTCATACACATTTACTTCTGGCTAAATGTGAGGCAGAGGAAGATCCATAGGTCACTCCAGCTGGGGTCTGAAGGCAGTGGGGCTGAACACAACTGCCTCTGTCTTTGCCAAAGGCTTTACAAAGCCAGCAGTCTACTAAGGGACTGGCTTGGTAGTGAAGGAGACTTGTTCTGAGGAACTCTGTGACCTCAAGTTGCCAAAACCAGTCTTTTGAGGACGGGATTGATGCCAACAGGTTGTTTCTGACCTCTAAGCTGATATGGTCAGACCTGGTGGAGAAGCAGATACTGGGCGAAAGAATGTATTTTTGTAAGATTTCCTGAATTCCTTCTGCAAAGCAGTACCAGCAATTCTTAGAATTTTTAGTTCCTGCGCTATAAAGTTTCCACCCATGGAGAGACAGCTCTTTGCTCTTCCTTGCACACAGCATGCAGTACAATCATAGTAACGCTACATTTACCCTGCAGCTGGCTTTGAAACTGGGTCAGTACAGCTCTATCCCAAATGCACAGGAGTTTAAAATACTCTCACCTGTCCTTAAAGAACCTTCGAAAACCAAATGCCACCAACTTCAGAACTGCCTCAAACACAAAAACGATGGTGAACACATAGTTGCAGTACTTCAGGGCTTCGTCCAGGGACTGAAAAGGAAGACACCAGTTAGGCCAGCCCAAGCGATCCTTTCCTAGAGCCTCTGCAGAGGGACTGGCAGGCACAAGGGTGGCAAAGGCACAGAGATGTGAGACGTAAAGTCGTAATAGCTTGCAGAGCTCAGTTACAAAACTGCACTGAATCACACAGCAAAACTCAAATAAAGGATTAGACACTGATGCAAAGAAAAACCCCATAAGCACTAATATTAGTTTTTTTAAATGTCACGGTCTATCAGTGTTCCAGCTTCAGTGCATGAATTGTTCAGTCTGGGTCAGAGAGAAAATTTTACCCCTTTCCCATCTAATACAGTCTATTTCTGAACTGCCTGGCCTTGAGCAGAATAAAAGACTTGACGGATCATTTCCTTATTCCAGCATGGCAATCCTTAGGACAATGGCTTTGTTCAAAACACTCAGAAAAATAAATAATGTTGGAGATGGATTTGATCTTGCCTTCTTGAAAAATGTTACATCTCTAGAGCTGGGCAAAGTATGTCCATATTTGGTGTAATGCTCACGCTCTCTATAGAGCTGCTCTCGGAAGTCAGGAATCCGCAGTGTTTATACTTTAGGATGATGAGTGTTTGCAATGGATTCCATTGGAACTGTAGGCCAACAATAGCAAAAGAATCTTGCTGGGACCTTAAAATAGATAGTTGCAGAGTGAAACAGCTCTTTGGTTGTGTAGGGATTTGGGGAGGGAAAGGGAATTTAGTTAAATGTAGTATAGGTCGCTTACAATAAGAAATGACAACAATGAACATCAAACCAGACACAACTGGAAATAAAATGCAATAGAGGAGCCTGCAAAGCGATGTCTGCTTTGTTGACAGAGGAAGCCTCAGGCCACAGGAAAGCTCTCCTCGCCACATTTGTGTGATGGCTGTGCTTTGATGGCCCCAGATATGTGGGATGACCATGCATTGATTTTTTTGGGAAAAAGAGCTGGTAGTTTTTCAGATTTGGCATTCCTCAATGCACTACTATCCCTATTTTTGTTCCAATGCCTAGAATAAAATAGAAACTTGTAAGAACCTGGGACAATTTACTATTTCATCTGAAGAACGCTGCCTGAGCCTGAATTCTCATATAATTTGTGATGGTTTGCATTCAGATTTACACCACTGTGTTTTAAATGAATGTAAAACAAGTATAAAAATGACCTAATCTGGATAAATAACATTTACATGCGAAACAAAGGCTGTTATGCAAAGGAATTATGGGGGCAGAACAGCACAGTCAGCTGGGGTAAAGCACACACCCGTTACCCCATGGCTTTGTGCCTTCTGGCTTAGCTTCCAGGAGGCATTTGCAGGTTACCTGACACACCGTGCAATATAGCCAAGTAAACTCTGAGCCTAGAGCTCCATGAATGATAAAGCAGTGGAAGATTAATGTATGCAGCAAATGGACAGGTTATATGATCTATGCCGAATGTTTTCTTGGGAAAGAAGGATTTTATGATGCAGAAAGAAGGGTTGTACTCAAGAGTTGGTTTATTCTAAATTCACTGAGTAAAAGAAATGTTGCTGTCCATGCATTAACGTCATGTTTATATCTGTTAATGTAATATTCTAAAACTCTGGACTGCTTCACGGTCTGAGGGTTAGTCATGGCTGAGATCAGGAGAGGAAATCACAGAATCACAGACTGGTTTGGGTTGGAAGGGACCTTAAAGATCATCCAGTTCCAACCCCCCTACCATGGGCAGGGACACCTTCCACTAGGACAGGTTGCTCCCAGACTCATCCAGCCTGGCCTTGGACACTTCCAGGGATGGGGCATCCACAGCTTCTCTGGGCAACCTGTCCCAGTGCTCCCCACCCTCTCCATGAAGAATTCCTTCCTGATATCTAATTTAAACCTCCCCACTTTCAATTTAAACCCGTTACCCCTTGTCCTGTCACAACAGGCCCTAGTAGAACGTGTTGTGTCCCGCCCCCCCCGATATTTGAACTGGTCTTTTCCTAGTAAAAGTTTAGCTCCCTCTCCATTAGACTTATTCTCTGCTTTTTTATGCAAGGACAGGAAAATCAAGTGTTTGGCTGGGGCATGTGACTCCCAAATGGCAGAGCTGGCCTAGAGTTGGATGGATTGCAGTGCTGAGCCTGGAGCCTGCTGAGGCTTTCAAATACCAGGGAATGGTCCCAGGGAAGCAAGGCGGGCTGCAGACCTCACTGGTCAACGGTATCCCAAGGGAACCCGAGTGTATGGCCTCAGGACCTCTGCTACCCCACACTGCTGTGTTTCACAGCCAACACGTTGAGGGATGGCTCTTACCTTGGGCTGGTTGTAGTGCTCCATCGACATAGTGATGACATTGACCCCAATGATGAACGTGATGAAGAGGTCAAGATAGTGGCTGGTGCAGAGGGTGTGAATGTACTTCCGTGCTGGGGAATAGTCCGCGTAGTAAGGCCTACGTTGGGCTTCTGCAGAAAAAGAGCAAGAAAGGCAATGGAATGAACGCAGGCCCTGCTGCATGGTCAGCAGTCATCACAACATGGCCTGTGGGTTGTCTCACACACGCCCAGATTCAGCCCGTGGGAGAACTGAATTCAAGCAAGCCACGTGAAATGGCCAAACGCTTCTACCTAGAACCTTCAAGACCCACAGGGGGGTTATCAGGCTGAGCCAAACCTCTCGTGCCTGCAGGAGGGACCTCCACAGCTTTGACAACCAGGTGTTTTCCTCCCGTGCTCTGTTCTTACTGCTTGCTCTCAGGCTGGAGGACAACCTTTACACTGGACCCTCATCAGAAACCAGGAAGGGTGAGAAGCAGGATGGAAATGAGACCCACAGCCAAGAGAGAAGCTTCAAACTCAGCAAGGACTCAACTCCAGTTTAGAGGAAGGGCTGAGAGCAGGTCTCATGGGTCTGGATATGCACCTCTCCCAACTCTGCTGACCTCAGGTATGTCCCATGTAAGAGAAGAACATGACCTGAGCTCAGCTCCCGTGAGAGAAGGCTTTTGGTGTATTTTAAGGCTCTAGAGAAAACACAGTGATGCCTGTGGCAAAGAAGGACACATGCGTGAGGGTTAGCAGTGCAAGGGAGAGCATCAACAGCAATGGAGCGGGGTGCTTAGCATTTGTCTCGACAAAGACCATCAGCACAAGCTCCTCTGGAAAGACAAGAACAAGGGCATGGTTACATCTAAAAAAAACCCATTCAGGCTGTTGCCACATGAATTTTATATCTCTGCCTCTGGTCACGACTCCTCCTTTCTTCTCTTTGAAATGGGGAAATTTCTGCACACGAGCAAGTTCTTGGGGCTGTTCCAAGGAGTGTTTGGATGCTGCCCTGAGACCGAGCTGTATTTACTGCGTGTGTCTCTCTTAAGTTAGACTGTGACCACAAGATGGCTGTGGGCACTCAGATGGAGTCGAATTCTTTTCAAACTTAAGAAATGTAAATATTCAAGGAGTGTACTTAAGGCCAAAGTCAGCACTGCTGTAATTTTGCAAGTGGAAGAGACATGTTGGGTCATACTAAGTCAGAGCAGGCTTGTTCTTAATAGAGAGGGATTTTTTTCCCAAATGGTTCAGCAAATTCAGCTTTAAATGCATGAGAAGCTGGGATAAAGGAGTAACTTCACCTTAAAAATAAGGAGGGAAATAGGTTTAAAAGCACTCAGTGACACCCTGAGATACATTTTCCACTCCTCTCATCTTGCTAATGTTTTTCAGATGGAGTGACTCTTGAAATGTGAGGGGTGTTTTTTTGGTAGTGCAACTGATGCCAGATGAGAGTCCAAAACCTTACAAAAAAGTGGATAAAGGGAAACTGAATCTCCTGGTCTCTTTCAAGTGCTATTTTTTCTCGTAGTTAAAAGTGGAGGCATTTGAAAAACATTTCCTTCGGACTGGGGTCATCTAGACTTTTTTTCTGCTAATGGGTATGGAAAAACAAGATGAAAGCAAACACAATCGGGTTTGAATACATTTTTCTGTTGCTTTCATGTGCCTTAGTCCTACCAGTCATCTTTGGTAGGGCTGTCTTTGCTACCGAGCACAGCTAATCTTCCAGTGTCCCTAAAAAATAGTAATAAAAACATTACAATATTTATTTGAGTCTGTACAATGTGCTTTCATGTGTATTCAGGATGACCACATAGTTTTTTCTTTTTTTTTTTTTTAATGTCATCTTGGAAATGCAAAAAAATCAGCTTGTTGGGAGGTCTGAGAATATCCCAAATAGTCAAACTTTATATTAAGGTTCTATTTATTAATACTAATGGCTGATTAATGGATCTCTAAGAACATTAGCAGCAATGGGCAGCTAATGTAAATCCACTGGCTATCAGCACATAAGGAAAATGGGCTGTAGGTGACTGCAAGTACTCTCTAACCTGCCCAAATGCAGCCACTGATCACCTATTCCGCAAAACATCAGGTGTTCATTATGTTTTATAAACTCCTTGTATAATTCTAAAGCATAATTACAAGAAGACATTTTACACTGTAAAGCTGCTGAACAGAAAACCTTCTAGGCTGCTGTCAGCAACAGAGAGTGCTCTTTACATGGGCTTGGCGTACAAATAGCAAGGAGCAACCATCCAGCCATAAAAATGGGTCTGTTTTATTGTGTGAAAGCATCTCGGAGGTCTGTGTACACTCTGCCAGTGCCCAGCACTGGCTATGCCTGGTCAACTGGTTGCTCAGAAAACTTGGGATAAGGTTTAACTTGACCTGTGGTGAGGGAGCTCTAGGAAATGCCCTACTCCTCTAGGATGCACTGCATCCCTGAAGCCAGGTTAACAGATGAAAAAGAAACTTCTCCTGGGGGGACACATACAAGGACAGTCTGGGATAAAGTTGACAACGCTTCAAAAGACATGCAACGACACTGTCATGCTCAGTGCAGCAACCCATGCAATGTCCATTAGAGGAGATACCCGCTTGTGCGAGGCTAACGGCAGTGAGCAGGGGTGTGCAGGAAGGACAGCCAGCTTCTGCGCCTGGCGATGCTGGCGTTAGGCTGGGGCGATCCCGTGAAGGCAGAGGGGCTGCAGCAGGGTGAAAGCAGTGAGAGATCAACCACAGGGCTTCACTGCAGCTCTGACCCCAGGCCGGAGGGAGGCTCCAAGGCCCCCAGCTCTGCTGGGTCACTGTTCATTCCCAGTCCCTTTTGGAGCAGGAGTTCTCCCTCAGTCCAACAGCAAGTGGCTCTGGCCTCCTTTCAGTTCAGACACACATTTTTACCTCTTGGTGAGAATATACTAAGTTATTCTCCACAGTTTGGGTGTAAGAGTTCACTGCACACACCTACTGCTACAGCCTGCTCAACCAGAGACATGGGGTCTGCAGGAGAACCTGAACGAGGAGAACAGTGGACCATAGGGATGTGGGCACAGCAAACGGGAGAAATCTAGTGCATTATTAATTACAGTAGGCAAAATGTACAAAAACCTGTGCCTGGTTTCTCTAGGGAAATGGTTTCTGGGATGAGACTCCAATCAGCCAACTAGCAGACTTACATAAAACACAGACACGTATCCCTTCAGCTGCAACTGATGGTTTGAATTGGTGGAAATGCAGGGAGGAAAGGAGAAACCATCAAACAGATGCAATAAGAAAACCACAGCCCTTTCTCGCCCCCACTTCTAGATGTTGGCTAATGCTTGAATCTCTTCCCTCTGAAGAGTATTTAAACTCCTTTGCTTGTGAATCTGCTGACATGAAAATTAATGAAGCACTGTCTCCTAGCTTAAAAGCATTTAGGTTGCCATTCCAACCGCCAGCTACAGCTCCTCCATTATTCTCCTCTGCATGAAACATTAGAAAGCCCTAATGGGTTTATATGCATGCTTGGCACAGAGTAGCTCCGTACCTGCAGCTGCCTGGAAAAATAAGCAAGATGTTTTGATAATTCCCTAGTTGGAAATATTAAACACTCAGATATGCAGTGCCCAAAATCTTAGTTACAGCTCAAATGTTTCTGCTGGATACAGAGACAGTTGTGGCATCGAGAGGATGGACTAATTTAAATACCACTGTGAGCTGCTCACGATTGCCCACCCCTAGAGAGAAAGGCTTAGTCAGTGCTCTGAAAGGCATCTCTGATGGGTCTTAAAACAAAACTGGCCTCTTCTGCAATGCCCACATGCTCTGTGTTGGGAATAGTCTCAGAGAAACCCAGCTGTGGCCACGCTCCGCTCGTAGAGTAGAAATTGGGAAACAGCATTTGCCTTTTCTCAGTTCTCAGAGTCTTCCCAGGGACCAGTGACACTACTGAAAGACACTCTGCTCCCCAGCCAGGGCCTCCCCGGGGCTGTGTCAGGCTTTTCCAGAGTTGCCTGCGCTACGTTTGGCACACAGTGTCACCCGGACCCCGCTCGCAGCCTTTGAAGCCCAGGGTACTGCCTGCGTTTGACCTGACATCAAGCTCTGCTCAGCAGGCCAGCGCCTGCTGGCTTCACAGCAGATACAGGCGGGTTGGATTTGGCCCCATGTCCTGAATGCAGGGGAGATCAACCCGATCCATGTGGTTTAAATCAAAAACTTGAATCTGGGGAGGCTGGTTTCAGTCTGTGTCTTCTGAAAACCTTATTAAAAGGTTAGGAGCAGCAGGATTATTAAATTACACTACACTTATTTACACAGTAGATACAGTGGATGGAGGTACTGACAGCGTCAGAAAATTATTCTAGTTTGTCTTGAATTTTTACCTTTGCAGGAAAAGTACACTGTGCAGTTCTGCCTTTAAAACCCCATCAAATGCAGTTCTACAGTGTATTCAACCCCCTGCCCTCTTCTCTCATGTGAGCAGAGTTAACTGGCAAACCCAGTGCCTTCTTTCAGTGCTGGCCCTGGCCTCAGATGAGTTTATTGCAGCCTGGTGCCTCGAGTGATGCTTGTCAACAGGAACAGGGTCAAGGAACACTGACCAGGGACATGGGGTGTCATCCTGTCCCAATCCCTACGTGAAAGTGGCCCTCAGATGGAAAACAAGAAACAGAAAGGCCTGTGGTGGTGTCTGACAGCAGAGATGTGGGCTGAGAGGGACCTTCCTGCCAGGCTCCTTGCAGAGCCTGAAAAGTACCCCCAAAACCAACACCTGATGATTCCCCATCCCACCTGCATGGGGTCTGACAGAGGAGCTGTGTTCCTGCTGCAGGGCTGTGTCCTCCATGGAGCAATCCCTCTGCCAGTCTCATAGCTCTGCACACAGGGTCCAAATCCTGGACCCAGCTGCAGAGCCTGGGATTTGTACCCAGAGCCTGCTCAGATGGGACCATCCAGGCACTGATAAGCTGAAGCTTAACCCATTTCCAGGCCTGAGCCCAAGCCTGCTATGGCTCAGTGGTGCATTTCTGTGTGTGTAGGTACCTATGGATGCTCAAAGACCTCAATACACAGAAACACACACAGGGTTGCTACACACAGAGGACATTACAGACAGGAGACAGGACACAAAGACAAGATGCCAGGCAGACAGCGTGTTGCTCAGATAGTACATCTGTTAGCTATGTGGGATTTTAGTCTTGTTAACAGCCCTAATTCTTCCTCCCCTTACGGTCTCTTCATGCCAAATGCTAGAAATGGCAATGGAAGTAAAAGCAGGGCGCTCTGCTAGGCAACTCGCTCCTCCACAGAATCACTGCTCTGTGACCATCCTGCCCCGTGGGGACCGGCCTCTCGCCCGCTCCTCCGTATGCCAGACACACAGCGCTGGGGCACGTGGAAAGCTGGCCGGCCCGTCGTCACCGTGCATCCCATCCGTGCACACAGACACTCCCCCCAGAGACTCTGCCACACGCAGCACCATCCACATCTCACATCTTTCTGAGTCTGCGACATTTTTTCACCAAATCCATCGTCTTCTGAATTACCCAGGAGGTGAACTCCTCCCCCATTTAAATTAAAGAAATCCATTAAAATGTAAATAGTAATCTTCCAAACTGTGTATCAGATATTTGATTTCACCTTGTTAACAACTCAAATTTGGATGCCAAGCTGTCCATGCTGAACAAAGGCAGGTTGGAGACCTCAGAGCCAGACGGTCTGAGCTAACCTCCTGGAAGCACAGCACATGGCCAAACGTTTAGCCTCTCGGTTGCTATCTTGAACTTGACCGCCTTCCAGAAAGCTGTCCTCCTCCCTGTGTGCTCTCAGTGAAATGTTACAACCCACATCTGTGCAGTGCCTGGGTCTGCAGTCTGAAATCTCTCCTTGACTCTATCCTTCGAGATAGTTGGATAAAGAGGGGCAATGTAACAGTGACCATCACTCTGACAGGCACTGGCTCTTTTTGGCATCTAAGCAGCGAGCCACAGACAGGCTTGTAATAAGATTTACTTACTAGTCAGGAATAGCAACTGGCTGTGGTTAAGCTATCCCTCCTTACCAGTCTATTTTCTCTAAGGATGCTTAATGTTCTTTGCAAATAAGCTTTTTGTTTTTTGTTGTGCACATAAACTTTGAGTTTATCTGAGTATCTTCTTGGGTCAGCAGCACATCAGGGTAGAAATGCTGCAGAGCAGCAGGACTCTTGAGAGCCTGAAACTGATTTCTCTTATTGTGCTGGAAATGCTGCCTTCAGGATTTCAGCTTCTAATCCTAGCTGGAACCTCAACCTCAAAACCCAAAATGGGAAAAAGGAAATGAAATTGCGTTTGAACTCTTCTAACTCTCTGAAGAGATTCAATGTCTGTTTGCGGCTGGCTAGTTTGATCTAGATTTTATTTTAACCCAGCTACTTAACCGACAACTAGCTAGAATGAAATGGGCTTGGCCTTCACTGTGGTGTCAGGTCTGTCTGTCACTGAGGCCCCGTGGAGACCGTGATGCAGATATTTAGTGCTGAGGTCTCCCACGGCTCTAATGAAGAGGACCACAAGAGCAGGAGAGGAGCTGTGAGGGATACAGCTGCCTGTATTCTGACTCAAGTGTGGATGCATGGAGGTAATTGATTTGCTGGGGTTTTACTAGCAAAGCCTCTGACTGCTATGTCCTTACAGCCAGGTGAAAGACTATTCCACCTAACTGCTGTTTTCCCACCTGAAAATGGATACCTGTGGCTTGATGTTTGGGAGACAATTAGCCATCTGACACAATGAGATATTAGGTCCTTACCGGGGATTACAGAGGGCAGCACAGTGTCAAAGAGCAAAGAGCCACAGGACTGCTGCACAAGCAGGGCCAGAAGCTCTCACGCCTTATCCCTGACTAAGCTCATCTTCGATCACAGTGGCCAAGCCACGTTCCCTCACTTCTAAAAAATACCTGCCAGCATCTAATGCAGGCTATGCCTGTTCACTAGAACTGGCTAGGAAGTCGGCGTGGCTGGTTTCCTGGCAGTTTCCCTGGGAATACCCACCAGATGCTAGAGGCAGCTTGTTCCTGGTGGAGCCTGCCAAGAAGCAGTGGAGGTGAGAATTAATACAGGAGAACCTCGGGAAGGTTTGGGTCAGGAAAGGAGCACAAGCTCACGTGTTTTTTCTGGTCTGGTTTGATGGTCCCTACTAGATCCACTAAGAAACAGATTCCAGCTAAAAGCCTTCTGTTACACCCTAACGGCCCTGCATCAGGAGAGTATTTCCATGTAGGGTGTTTGCAAGGACAAACTGAGTCCCAGCACATTGCTCAGCAGTGAAGAGCTCCCCCAGCCTGTGATGGGGCAAGCATCTCTTGTAATGGACATCTTCCAGAGAAAAATTTTCTAGACAGCCCCATCCTGGGACTCCATTCCTCTCCCCAGGGCTGTCAGTTTGTTCATGCCCTCATGCAGCATGTTTGTGGCATGCGGGGCCATGCGCTAGGACTCTAAAAAGCATCACAATTATTTTGTCTAAGAAAAGAACTAATAAATCAAACCACCACCATCATCAGATGCAAGCGGCACATTAAGCCACCGGGCTACCCTCGGGACTGGCCTTCAGGCACGCAGTAAGCATTGCCGCTGTTTACTCACTGCATCCCTCAGTCACACCGCAAGCTCCCGCTCGCTGCTTGGGACACCTTTGCCTTGCAGAGCGTGAGAGAGGACTCTGCTTGGAGGAGGATTTTTCTTCTGAGCCAAGTAAACAGGTAATGCTTTACATCAGGCTTGTAAAGGACAATTCCAGGGCGTTGGCAACCCAAGACTTAAGGTACCGCCAAAGAGGTAATGAAACAAAACAGCCTCTTGAATCCCATGGACACAAAACCAAAGGAAAATGAAAGTCTTGCTTTGGGAGCAGGCAGGGCTCAGAAAGATTTTGGTTTGTAATGCAGTCTACCGACCAGACAGGTATATCTCCTTACTCCTGCGCTTTTTCTCCAAGCGTCTCAGGCGCTTCTCCTCCCGACGCCGGGCCTCCTCCGCCTCCTGGTGCTGTCGGCATTTGTGAAAGTTCTCCACCACCACCCCCACAAACATGTTGAGCACGAAGAAGCTGACGATGAGCAGGAAGGAGATGAAGTAGAGAAGCATCCAAGGGTTATGGTTCTGGACGGGCTGGTGAGGTGGGGAATTAAAAAATGAGAGAGAAGAAAAGCGGCACAGACAAGACGTGTTTAAGTCAGGATATTGGGCTCTCTGCAGCAACAAGACAGCACAGTATAATCTTGTGGGGAGCAGGAGAGGGCTGGGATGAGTTAAGAGACTTTCCTGACAACAGTGTCCTCTCATTCACTTTCTCACTGCCTAGAATTTTACTTCTGTTGTTAAACCTGTCCTAGTCTCTGTAAATTGGCTTACAGGATTTAATTATTTTGGCATTTATTTCATACAGCTTAAGAAAAATCAGTGGATATGCATCACCCCACCTGTCAGATCATTTTAGTTAAACATAGGCTCCAGCTCATTATCTTTTTTGAGATGTGGGTTCATGGTCGATGTTTCTGTATTGTTAGGAGATCTCCAGAAGCAGGGGAAAATAAAGTACAAAGTGTTACCGTAGCTACGATGGGCTACTACTCATCCAAGACTCTGACTTTCATTTGCGACTGCCACATAATGCACAAACTTAAACAGCTCTGCTCCTTCCTGGGACTTCAAAAACACCAGAGTCACCCCAGCATGAGACTTCTGAGAGCAACACATCTGGCCTCTGCAGTACATTTACCTGTTGGTCAATACCCACAGCATCCAAACCATCATACATGATGTTCACCCAGCCATCTTTGGAGGAGAGCACAAACAAGGACATGAGGGCCTATAAGAAAATAAAACAAACAAACAGAAAAGATTGGTCTTGTGTTTTAGTCCCCAGAAAAGAAACTAACAGCAGACAACGCCCAGCAAAACCAATCCACAGCTCATAACACATCATCTGGGCTGGAGTTAGTGCAGAGATGCAACATATTGTGGCCTGCCTTTATCTATTTCCATATCTGGATTAAAAAGGAGCACTTTTTAATCACTAACGCTCCTTTTCCCTCCCATACAGGCTGACTTTTGCTCAGACACATCAGGCTTTCTGGTCACTAAAGCATGAATAAAAATATGTCAGGCTGGTCCGATGTCATGGGATTTTATAAAAAGCAATTAATATATCCCAGCTCCTATTATGGGCTGTCTTGATCTTCAGCCAGTATAAAGCACCTTATTTTTTTTTCATTTGCAAACATAACAGCTAGAAGTCAAGAGATTAAAAGTGATAGTTGAGGTCCACACATGAGGGACTGCATGGAAAAAGGAGTGGCTTTAAGACAACACTCTCCTATGAACGAAGAATCATATAACCCTAGGAATTCTGTCTGCAAGAGATCAAGAGATGGCTTGACTGGAAACTTCCTATGATGGACGTTCTACACCCTCCTCAAGGAATACATTTTAAGTGTTCCTCCATTAAAACTGGTACAGAAAATCCCTCCAGTGAGGACTTTACCTGTCCCAAATTGTCAAAATTGTACTTCCGCCGAACCCATTTGTAGTGTGCGTTAGTGCAGTCAGTCTTTGTAGTGATGTTTTTTACATCAGGGCCATCGCAGTAGTAGAACTTCCCTTTAAAAAGCTGTATGTGAGAAGCAACACAAGAAGAAAAACCAAAAAAGAAGCAGCTTTGAAAAGTCTGTCCCCTGACTCATCTTTCTTTTCCCTAGTAGAGTTGTTCAAGTTCAAATCCCCTTCCTTCTAGCTCAGATAACCTGCCTGAACACACGTGGCAGGAAAATACCTCTGGTGAAACTTCTTGTGTATTGCCTCAGACACGGGATGAAGTGATCCTGCAGGTCTGCCCTGTCTTGTTGGGAGGATGACAATCTCCCCTGTGAGGAAGACATACTATACACATCCTAGCACACAGAGCCAGCAGGGATTTTGGGAATTTGCCTTTTCCTCCCTGATCCTCAGGCAGGCCTAGCTGGTGCTGTGTAGTCCATCAAGGAGGTCTGCTTTTCTGAGAACCTTCCACCGAACAGATACCAACCCCACCCCAGAGCATTTCTTCTAGGGCCTAACTCTTCTTTCCTAACACCTAACTGAAATCTTCCTTTGGTGAGATTTAAGCCCATTACTTCGACCTTAACCCCAGGTGGTGAGAAAAACAGCTTCTGTTTTGCAGCAGTCACTTACAGATGGCTGTGGTGAGGGAAATACTCTACCTGGACCCCTAAAATCCCAAAGATAATGAAGAAAGCACAGCAGATGAGAACAATATTCCCAATAGGCCTCAAGGAGGAGATCAAGGTTTCTACCACCAGCTTCAGACCTGGGGCTCTGCTGATGACCCTGCAAAAAATGGGAAAACAATCAAACTTTTAATTTTTATGCATGCCCTGTTATTACATGCTTGCTTTTCCTCCTCTGCTTGGGCTGCAGTAAAACTAACACAACCCTCCTCTACCTGCAGGCAGCTTTGGGAGACAATTAGTGACTTAGGTGGACAACCACAGCATTCACAGTCACATTAGATGGAATGAAAAAGGTGTAAGACCCTATCAGCAGGGTGTTGGGTAATTGCTTACCAGTAACAGTGAGAAGGGAATACTCTACGTGCAGAGTAGCAGAGAGGTTCCCACTGCAGGGCTGTTTGTACCTCAGTCCAGAGAGCTGATCTCCTCTGAGGTCTCTCTGACTCAAGGGGATGGGTGGAGGAAACACACGTCCATGTGTGTAGGGGCAGGCACCAAGCAGGTGCCTGCTTCCTAACACAACATCTGTAAACAGCTTCACAGTGGTACTAGGGAGCATGTCTGGTCCTCTTTCGAAGTGCTCCCCTGCCCTACTGACCAGGGCCCCATGACAACTTTTCAAACACAGTAATTTCAAATTGTTTCCTAATTAGTTCCTGAGCTGACTCTTTAGCTAACAGGAACTTGTGATCAACAGCTCCACAGCCAAAGGGTCATCTCATTAAAGAGCAGCTTGCTGGCTGTGAGCACTGCCTGAAGCAGCTTTTGGGTACTATGGAGAACAAGTGTTTTCCTTAACTGTATGAAAGCCTGGAGAATGGTTCTCCCATGGGCATGTGAAAAATCTGTTTGCACATGCAAGTGTAACTAGCCCAAGCAAGGTTTCCTGGGAAGGTGGGTGTTTTGGCTGAAGATATCAAAGGTTTTTTTTAGGAGAGACCTGTAGAGGGGAGAGGGTATGAGTCCTTGCAGGTAGCTTGAGCCTGCACGACTAATGATGCTTTCATGCCTGCCAAGCGCAGAGAAAAGAGGAGAGTAGTATGCTGCCGGCACAAAGCATTTCAGCAGGGTCTTGTTTGGCAGCAAATAAAGTGGCAGTCTGAACTGCACCTACAAAGTGTTGGGAACGGTCCCTGGAGTAATCCTAGAAGAGGCTGTGATAAGTGAAGCTGTCGTTAGAGGTGATGAATTCCTCTCTATTAATAGGATCTGGCCTAGTTATTCTCCAAGATTAATTCCCTCTTTTCCTCCCTTACGTTTACTTATGAATTGCCTATGCCCTGGTTTCTGTTCCTAGTTGTGTGTGTTAGACAGGTGCCCTGGGGCGCTGCCAGATCAAGGCTTGGCCATGGTGACCCAGAGTGGCTCCAGGGGAGCCAGCACTGCAAGGGGACCCTGATGCCACCAGCAGAACAGAGCATGGGAGCGAGAGAGAAGACAGGAACACTCACAAAGTTACTTGTCGCTGAGGAAATACAGAACAGCAGACAAATAGCTGTTGTTCTTGTGGTCATGGGCCTAAAAACAAGATTGCCTCTTCCTATTACCCTCATAAGCAAGCAGCTTTTCATCAGAAAACCCACAGGTCTCAGGAGGTGCCTATCTTGTTTCCCCTGAAATGTCGTGAAAAAAGGCTTGTGTTTCTTGCCAAGCAGGGTGGAAATAGGACAGGAGCCGTGAGCTGATAAAAATCCCCCAAGCATTAACACTCTTTGTTATTGCACAATCATAAACAAAATACAAATTCTCTTTATTCCTTTTCTCAAATACTGAAAGCGTCTCCCCTTCCTCTTCCTAGCTGAGAGCTAAATCGTTTCGCAGTAATGTTAGATATGCAGGCACAGGAGAGTGGGTATAGATGCTGGAGCTTATCAAATTATTGTCAGCACCTGTTCAATTGCAAATTTTCTCCCAGCCAACGCAACCTCTTTGCTGGGGAATGACTGTGAGGTTGTGCAGTTTAACAAGGAGCCAGACAGATTTGTAAAATGGTGATAAAAATGCAGCGTGGAGGAGGCATTCACTGCACTAACTGCCTGAGTACGATAACACCTCTCACTCCAAACTCCATCCGCTCTTTTCCATGCTGGCAAAGACGAATTGTAACTAATTTCGCTGTTTTCAAACAGTTTCACTAGATAAGAGCTCCCCAAAGATGATTCTACCCATACTGTGTTTCAGCTTTTTGTGTTATTCGGCAAGACTTTGACGGATCATGTCTATTTTTTCACACTCCTTGATCCATCACCACAGAGCAAACTCCGCACCCGACCGGTGAACGTACCGCAGGGGTCTCAAGGTCCGCAGAAGTCTCAAAACGCGAAGGACACCCAGGATCTTAGCTCCGCCTGCCGATGCCATGGAGACTATAATGTCAATGATAGACACAAAGACCAGGACTCCATCCAGGACGTTCCAGCTGCTCTGCAGATAGGTGTTCTCCCCAGAGAAAAAGCCAAGAGCTACCACCTGCAGCCAGGAGAAGAGACACACCTAAATCTTCACCCAGATCATAACTATGTCATGTTCTGGTCTTTGACAGGCCTCACTATGGGCCTTGGGATGAAGATGTAATTACCTTAACCATCATTTCAGCCACAAAGATTGCAGTGAAGATGTAATTAGAAACACTTAGGAATATCCTTTCCTGTAAAACACAGAACAACAAAAAGAGGCAAGTTATTTAAAGACATTAGAAAACAAACGTCTTTCGTCTTGCAGGGTCTTGCCCTGCCAAGACTAAGATCTGGATGCTACAGCAAGGAAGAAAATGACTCAGGTGCTCACCGTGCTGTGTGGGTCTATGTCTGGTCGCTCCAGTGCTATAGTGATGCAGTTGAGAAATATGAAGACCAGCACCACGTGATCAAACATTTTGTGGGCAATGACCTTCTGGCACATCATTCGGAACCTGAAGAAATGGTGGGGGAAAAATATCCTTCAGGTGTTTGGGTCAGCAAGAGACTCCCACCCAAATGGCACGTCCTCCAAAGTCTTCAGCAGCTGTGGCACCAGCATCAGCCCTGGTGGTGAACCAGTCTCTCCACAAGCTTCAGCCAGTATTAGCAATGCAGTAACAGCTATTATTAATGCTGGTTAAACCACCCTTCTTCCTAAACAGGCATGGAGTAAGCCATGCAACAATTCTGCCCACATGTAACAAAAAGTTACCTAAAAATCAGTAATTGGTTTTCTAAAACTCCCAGTGCTTCTGCATCAGAGAGGGATTTTTCTCAAGGGATGGCTAGCTAGAAAGGTAGTATTCTGTTACCACAAAAACCTGGTGGGCTGGCATTTCACTGGGAGTTCTTACCGATTCTGTGGGGAAAACAAGTAGAGAGACCAGTCTTCATGACTCTTGCACCACTGTGGTTTGTAGGGCTCCAAGACTTTACGAATTCGGTAGCAGTAACTCTGCACAGAAAAGAAGAAACACCTTTTCTTTCTCTTTTATTTTCCTGCCTCTTCAACTTTCACAGTCCTTTTGTGAAGTGGGCAGTACACAGCATTTCGTAGCGCCTACAGGGAGTCATGGCTTTTGGGACAGAGGTGTGGCAGGCACTGTCACATTTGTCCAGCAAAACGTGGAGGAAAGGGGTGGAAGAAAGGGGCTGCCGGACAGCGAGATATGAACATAACACAGCAAGACTTTCTAGGTAGGTATCGTTTTGAGATCCAAAGTTGCATCAAAACCAAGAAGGCCTCAAACAACCAAAACGTTAAATAGAAACTTTCTAGGCTTTGAAACCTCTGAGGTGCCAAACAGTTCTTGTGAGCAAAGACATGAGCTAGCTGTTGTGTTCACAGATCATTTTTGAGGCATACTGGGCCAAGGGGACAATCTCAACCAGTCCGAAAACTAGGCAAATGCATGCACAACCCCTTGCAGTTTTACCTTGTTAGAGACTACTGTAAGGTAACAGCCCAAACCATTAGCTTAAAAAAAACCCACAACCTTTTGGGAAGTGGATGCCCATCCCTTGGATCCAGATTCACTTTGTCTACACCAGCCATTAAGCAGTAACACATTTCAAAGCCTGATTTTTAATCAGCCTTTTTGGAGTAGAAAAGCCACTGAATGCATGAGCACTCAATTTCCCCCTCAACTCACATCCTCCATGTCATCCTCATAGTCCAGGGCATCCTCCTTGTGACTGTCAACACGCAGGAAGAACTCACTGGGGACATGAACCATCTTGCCGTTGCAGTCTTGGTACTCGGCAGGCAGAACGGCCATGGGGCCGATACTGAGCGAGTGGCGCATGGCGGGCAGCTGGAGCAGCTCAGGCAGGTCCAGGGAGCTGCGGTAGTCCAGGGACTCTGCCCGGCGGTGCAGCGAGGGCCTGCTGACCGTGCTGGACTTGGCGTCATCGGAGTCATCATCTGTGCTGCCTTTCCCTTCCCCTGAGAGCAAGGACTCTCTTTCTCCTGACTGGTTCTTCTTCTTGAGGCTCGGGGCTCTGCCCAGGCTATTCCAGCTTGAGCGTCGGCTTCCCCAGTTGCTGCTGGTGCCCCAGTTGGCACAAGGGGAACTGCGGAGGCTGGACTGAGAGAGGAGAAAGACATTTGAGGGCTTGTTTGCAGGAGGAAGCCAAAGGATATGGCATTTTGCCCAGACTGAAAGACCCCTCTTGTTGCAAGTCATGTCTTCTCCTTTCAGCTTTCGCGCTGTCCCCGTTTCATTCTGCCAATGCCTTGGGATGGCAGGCAAGCCCCCAGCTAAGCCCCCACCAAAGGTACTCTCTGAACTACACCTGTAGCACAGCTACCAGTCCTCTGTGCTGCACGACTTCCACCTGTCCTGGCAACATTAAATGTGCATAAAAACTGAACCCAAAGACACTTATTGCTGAAGTGGCATTTTCTTTCCTCATGTTCAAGTGGTTTCAGCACATAATTTCCCTGGCTTCCAAGAGGCTCTGGCACCTGACTCACCCAAGTGTCTGTCAGAAATTGTGCATCTATTTGCATTACTTTCTCTTCAATTTGGTGCATAAGGTGGTGGAACGAATGTTTCTCTTACAGCAAATTTCTGGCCCTGATCGGTGTGTCAGCGCACTTTGGCTGGTAGGTAGAGGCCAGGATGAGAGGACTTAAGGTCAGAGGAGAAAAGCTAGAAGGAAAACTCCTTTTCCCCCCCATGGCATCCTCCCAGTACAAAACAAGGCAAACTGCCTTCCTCCTCCTTCCCAGTGCTGGGCAGCTCTCCTCTGACTGCTTCATCTTCCTTTGGCTGGTGGCTCTGATGTGCTCTCAGAGAAAGGATTCAGACAATGAACAACCCTCTCCAGCAACTCACAATCCCATGAAACCCCAAGGCAAACAACAGTCATCTCTATTTTCTTTTCAAAGGCATTACCTTGACTAAGCAGCTTACCAAAGGGGATAGTGGCTCTGTCTCTGTGTGAAGCGCCTTCATGGTCTGCTGCCTTGATTTGAACATGATATTGCAGTTACAGAGCAGAGGAATAGGACAGATAAGCAGCAGCAGAAATCCACTTTGCCTATTAACTCTTCTCCCTCTGTTTTCACAGAGCTGCCCTCCCGCTCCCCTGTGGCAGGCAAAATGCTATCAGTTGCCGGAACAGTCAGCTCCAGCCAGATCTCTGCTCCATGAGCTGTGCCTGGCAGCAGTCAGTCAGCTCATACTTCGTACCCTCTGCTACCCCTCCAATGGGGCTGCTGTTTTGTAACTGGAGCTCAGCTGCTGTGATGGTGAAGACAAATGCTTCATTTCCCTTGATACAAGGTGGATTCGAGATGCAACCCTATAATGCTGTAGGGGGAAACAGGCCTCATCCTCACAGGAACACTTGACAGCTTCTCCAAAACACCGCAAAATGGCCAGTGTGGTTGGCAGAAGATGCCTGCTCCTCCTCAGAGGGGTTTGCTGGAATAACTGCATGAACTTACGATTTGGCTCAGGTTGCGTCTCTCCAGTGAGGTGGCTTGGCATGGCCAGTCAGACACTAGGCAGGAAAACACTGAATCCCAGTACATCCCTGTCTCCCCACTTCATATACTCACTGTCTTTGTTCAGTTGTCACTGTCCTGCCCCAGCACATCATACTTATTCATTTCTCCCTCAACTCTGTCCTCCTCCTGCCTTTCCACATGACTTCTCACTCCTATCACCCGCCTTTTTACTTTCCAGCACTGCACAGCAGGCACTTGAGGGAGAGTTGTTAGCAATAGGAACCTACCAAGGACTTCTGATCGTAGCTCAAGGGGTCTAGCGAAGCGTTACTCCCTCTCCTCGAGTCCACAAAAGTGTGCACAGAATCCATGTGTGGGGAACACTTTGGCGTGGGCATCGGTGTGGCAGCAGTGCGCATGATTATAGGAGGTGGCATGCTTCCCCTGCCCTCCAGGTGTCCGTTTGGGGTGACGGCAAGTGAGTACATCTTCATCTCTGGAGAGAAGGGGAGAGAGAACACAAGGTGAATGCTCAGAAATCACTCTTCAAAATGGATATTGCTCCTTGGGTCTTGTAGGAGATTAAATGTGGGCAATAATAGGATCACTCTCACCACTCTGAAAGGTGTAAAGCAAATGTCACAACCTTTTAGGAGGCCTTCAGCCCTGTCTGGACTCACTGCCTGGCAAAGGAAGCTTCTTTTGCTCAGATTCTTGGGGTTTAGAGAGCGGAGTTACAGTTTAAGGGGACTGGGAGAGAGTGTCTAGGGAAAGGACATTGAGGATTGGCTAAATTCACCTTCGGAAGTTAATATCTTCTTGCCACGCACTCTTGCACAGAGATTTTTACACAGTTCTGATGTGCTTTGCATTCCTTCACAGGGAAGGCACTAAGCAAACTTTAGACATTGTCTTTAGACATCTGCTCAGGGGACAGGAAATGGAAGCAGCTTTTACACATCCACCCATCTAGAAGAATAAACCTCTTGTAACAGAAGAATCTAATGGCACATCTCTGTAGTAACTGCAGAAAGTATCTGTTTTAGCTGTATGGCAAGTACAGACTGTAAAAAACATATTCACACTGAAGACAAACCAAACATAACACTATGGAGTGCTAATAGTCAAACCAAAAAGCCTGATTTCAAACACAAAACTAAAGTTGAAATAGCTCCTGTTTCACTGGGCTTAGTGGGTTCTGGTTTAACAACTGCAGAATCAGTTTTAAGGAGGGGGAAGTTGCAGGAAAGAAGTACAAGTCTGCAGTGAGAAATCCAAGCGAGTGCATCACCCCTGCTATTTTTCTTCCACTGGCTGCTTTTGTAATGCAGTGTGCTTCTATTGTGTCATCTGTTCAGCTGCTGGCGTGTGCACAAGTACCTGATCTGCACCACAGAAGTCCATGGGAACACTGCCATTCACTCCGAGGGCTGGAAGATCCAGCTCAAAATCTGCTAATATGCAATATGCGTTCCTCTTGCCAGTGGATCTGTTTACAGTCCAACGGCATTGTAATAGAATTGTTAATGTCCTTGTGCTGTTTAGTCACCAGTTGGCACTTATGAGGCTTGTGGAGACACACAATTACTCACAGACTTTGACTGATGGCAAGTTCAGCCTTGTTTTCTCTTCCTGTATTACCTGAGAAGAGGTGACAATATTTCTTTCCCTTAGAATTCTTATTATTTGAAGCTGCTTAGCAAATTGTTGGTGCAAAGCTGGTGCATACTTGGTGCTGTGAGTTCCTTGCCAACTCTTTGCAGTAGACGCTAATTTGATCACTTGGTGTTTGGAATTTGTTGCTTCATCTGCAGACCGAGCAGCTCCAACACCTTGCGGTGATCCCACTCTGTCTCAGCTTTCCCAGCAAATTACTTCTGCCCCTTCTTCAGCTGAATTCCACCTGCTCCCCACAATCAATACCATTTCCTGAGCTGAAACGAATCCTGGTTTAGAAGCATTTAAAGTAATCCTAACAGGAGCCCAAGCTGAGAATCAAAGTATAGAGGAACCTGTTTATGCCATTCACTCTGTTAAAATATGTGATCCCTTCCTGTCCCCTGTCTGGTTGCAAACTCTACACAGTGAAGGCTATTGCCCACTATTCTGTGTCTATAGCATGCTAGTACAGTGTGGCCTTACCTCAAATCAATTGCCAGGCTCTCCTGTAACACAAACCAACAGTAACATTTCCATCAATCAAACCTCACCTAAATGCATTTGTGTGAGAAACCAAATGGAACAGACGAGAACATGATTGATTTGAAAAGCTGCTGAGAAGTAGTGTGAGAATATTGCTGTCAGCAAACCGTTCTGTGGTAATGATGCAGACAAACGATGAGACATATCTAAATATTCTAGTATAGTTTAAATTAGAAAAACATCTGTTTAAAGGAAATATCAATGCTCGTTTAGTTTTCCCAACACTTTTTGCATAGCTGCTCTGTTAACGCAGCTATCAGATTAAGAATTGCCAAATAAAACGGGTTCTTCCACTTTTCTCCATAAGTGTCTATGAAAAGATGACTGTGGAAGAAGAGTTGTAGCTCTGATTCCCAGGAAAATGTAAAGACAAAAAAATCCTACCTGTTGCTCGGAGGTCTTTTAGCTTCTCAAAATCATCATCGAAGTTGGCAGATGTCTTGTCCTCATCTGTGTCTGACCTATTGGCATCCCCCTGCAGAAAGAAGCATAATTAACAGACCCAATTAATTTAAACTTTAGCTCCAAGGCCATTTGGATGACTTAGCAGCTCAGAGATACGTCAGCTCCCCATGGTTAGTTTAAGTGTGGCCCCAAGAACTAGGAGGGCAGAATGCCAAATTCCCCCTGACGCTGCGTCCTGGGGAATGACCCCCAGGTAAGTCCCCCTTTCCTGATTTGGTTCATTTTCATACTTGGACAGAGAGGATGACGACGTGACTGTGACTACTGTCCCTGCAATGTCCTTGTGTTTGGACCCAGCCTCACTGAACAGCGTATCCCAGGGGAGAACATGAAAGTGCAGCTGTAATCAGAGGAGTGACGAAGAAAAATTGGCATTGTGGGGTTCCATATTTGCACTCCCTGTGATCCCAGCCAAAAGCACTTAGGTTTTTATGTCAAAGGATGTAGAAGAGTTTTTCTTCTTTATTTGACAGCACTATAAATTTGACTTAGACCTGAAAACCAAGCTCTGATTTGCTTCCTTCACGCTGGCTGGTAATCGAAATTGTATTGGGAAACCTCTTGGCAACACTGAAGCTGAGGCAGAAGGGAAGGAGGCCAGCTTGCCTCGCAGCACAGCATCATTTCAGGCCAGAGAACAGCCAACCATCCACAGGCTGCCTTTCCTCCTGGAAGTCCAGTTATTTTTCCCTTTCATACATATCTCTCTCTGCTACCAAAAATGATCAGCCTAAATAATGTACAAGCCTAGGACAGAAGAGCTTTTGTCAGGTTCTCCTCTGCTGGGGAAGGTCTGCAGAGAGGAGAGATTCCAGCAGGCTGTCGGCATGACTCTGGCTTGATCCATCAAGACTGCAGAAAAGCTGTGCAAATTGATAGCAAATGGTTGGATTAAAGCAGCTGATCCCAGAAAAAAGGAGCACAGTTCTTTAACTGATGCCTGAACAAATCGCCATGGTTTCTGGAGACATGGTGCTGAAGTGGCAGTGAACTTAATTTCATCTGTGATGTATTGCTAACTGGTGCAGCCAGACAGACAGGATGACTGAAAGGCTTAAGCTCCCTTATTCATCTTCTCTGTTTTGGAGCAGAAGCACTACTGCAGAGTAGATGAAAGATTTGCATAATTTTGGCAGGTTTCTCTGCTTTTCCAGAGCAGCTCTGGGGTAGATTTCAAAATGACATGGGAACAATGTAAGCACAAATATGCAATTATGGTCCTGTTTGAAGTCTGGCTGTTTGTTGTCCTAAGCACAAATGTACTAAAAAGGGTTTTGTGGCCATTTAAGCTTATTCTCTTCCTAGGAATACTCCTGCCAAACTTGCTCCACAGGCAGATCAGAATCTGAGATCAAGCTGAGACTGTGTACTGCGATTCACAGCACAATTTTCAATGTCCTTGCTGAAATGCTGCTGATGGGTCTGAGCTTAGAGCAGCTCTAATGTGCGTCCTCGTAGCTGCACATGTCTCCCAGGAGTCACTCTTCATCTAAGTAAAAGAAACACCTGAGCAAAGGAAGAAGTGTACCTCGGTGTCTGCTGTGACTGCTAAGAGCATCACCCTGCAAGAGGGCAAAGTCAAAGAGGTTAAACCAAGAATTCTCAACAGAACCAGAAAACCCAGCTCCACTGATACGTTTTCCTGGGAGTTTTTCAAGGTGATGGTAAACATCTTTGGTTTACAACCAGAGCTAAGATTTATAAGTGCAAGCCCTTGAATCAAGCCCTGGGAGCCAAAATACAGCCCTGACAAGGGTTTTCTGTAACACAGCTAATACCTTGCTATGAGAAAACTGACAAGCCCCCAGGCTTAACGTTAGGATTTATAATAAATGGAAGCGGAGAGCAAAATGTGCCCTGCAAATGTCACGCCTGTGGTTGCTGGCCTTTTCTGAGGCAGCACTGAGTGAATAATACAAGCCTGGAAAACTACTCCTTACACACATTCAAATCATGGTCCATAAGAGCTCCGAAAGGAGCCATTAAGTGGAGCAGGAAAATGACAGCCGTTCGGCACGGTCTGTAATCAGGCACCCAGAGACTATTGCATGAGGCTGCCTGTTTCTGGCTTCACATCGTCAGGTGATTCAAGTTCCAAGAGAGCAGGTAAGGAATGGATCTGTCCCGTACAAAGGTACCTGCAAGCTGCCAGGTTGCCGAGCCGAGAAAACTTTCTTCTGCCTTAAAGTAACCGGGAACAAAGGATTCCAACTGCTGTACAAGAGCTCTCTGTGCCTAAATGCAAGATTGCTTGAGCAGGAGCAGTTTCCAGTCAGTCAGGTCACGCGTGCTGATGGTCATCCATTCGGGTTTCCCTGGCATGTCCTCTTTTTCCACCCAGATTTGCTGGTTGGTGGTATCTGAGGATATCCAACACGACTGGCTACCGAATACTCTGAGCTCCCATAGGGCCAACTGTATCGGTTGCTTCTGCATTCAGTTCTGGAAAACCTATTGCTTTGGCACAGACTTTGTCTGCTATGGCCTGTGTCATTTTCTGGCAGAACTGAGGCCCAGCACAACCACCCTGAATACAGCTACAATCATCCTAGAGGAGAACACCTTTTGGGTTGGAAGACAGCAGCCACTGCAGAGCCTGTAGAAATACTGGCAATTCCTTTGCTATGGTCTTACCAGGTTAGGGGCTAAAATGTCCACCTGCATCTGCAACAGGCTGCACCAGAACAGGAATATGGCAAAGGTGTTATAGTATCCAGAGCAGAGCCAGGAGATGCTGAGATCAGTGACACACAGAAAACTACAGGAATTTGGAAATAAACAATGTCAGCAAGAGTTCTAGTCACTGCCAGGTGGAATATAGGCTTGTTCTTGGAAAAAGACCTCCTTGCTGCTCTGGGTCAGCTGTGCTGGATCTTCAGGGCATGGACCACATTGTACAAGACATTAAGATGCCCACTAATGCAGTGCAGAGCTGTTTGTTTTGAAAGCGATGAGCTGGGCTACTTGTGTCTTCTCCGTGTGTGCAGGTGGCACTCACCACCCTCAGCATCCATGGAACAGCCCTGAGCGACATAGCTCGGGGTCGTTTTTTTCCAAAATGGGGTTTGGCTCCTGTTGTTTCAATTAATTTTCCTCTGCTAGTGCTGTGAGGATGCTAGGAGGGATGTTTTAATAATGAATCTATGCAGACATCCTTGAAAGACATAAATGTGGCTATGCTGGATTGAGAGAAGGGAACTTTTGGTCCATGAATATTTCATGGTCAGGGAAGGTTCATCTACGTGTAATCTAAACACAGCAAATGAGAGCACCATACCATTTCTGGGGAAAAAATGAAAAGTGAATAAAAAATCCTATAAAAATTTTTCCCTTGGGAGCTAAGGCAGCGAAAACTGAAGACATTTTTTTCTGAGTCTGTGTGTCTCTGAAGCCAATCTATCACTAAGCAAACTTTCCCTTCCTGATTGTTGCAGACATAAAAAAAGTAATAATTAAAAAATCCCAAAGCACGATGTAAGCCCTTTCGATGCCTCTATTCTTAGCTTTAACGAGGACTGGATGATTTTTGGTAAGTCTCAAAATCATTTCCATTTGCACTTTGAAAAAAGTAATATTTTTCTGGATAACATATATAAGTGCACATACATGATTATATTTACAACCAAAACAGAACATCCTCACTTAAAATCTTCCCCAAATGGACTTGCTGTAATCTGAAAGGAAGATGAAGAAGAGTGGGATAGGCCAGGGGATGGCTAGTTTCACGCTCTCAGGATGCTGAAAGCAGATCTGGAGTACCAGATCAGGACATGGCATATCACTTTTGAGTGAGAAATAAAATAATTTTTCTCATCCTTTCCATGGGAGATGAGATGACTGCAGTTTATCATAAATTCCCTGCTCATTGACCTGACACAGACATTATTTTTGGGTGTAGGTAAAAATCTCTACCATTTATATGTCCTACATCATCCTAAGTATCTCAAAATTTGTAAGCACTCAAAAGCAACACAGCTTTTGAATGGCTCTGCTACTAGCCTCAGACAACACAGAAGGGACAGAGTCACAAGGAAAGGCGTGGATGGAGGGCCAGTTCACATCCTACCTGGTCCCCATGACTAGCGCTGTCTAGATATACTGATGGCCTGAGGCCCACCATAAAGAAGCACAAAACAAAGGACATATGGGGGATTTGGTGAGTTAAATTAATCTTAAATTATTTCCTCTGGGTCACACAACAGACCCTGTAGCAAATCACCCGAACTGTTGGTCTCCCAAGTCCAGGGGGCCTTATTTCCAAAGATGGGTTCAGAAGAGCTTCACATGCCCAAGCCAGTTCATCTACATCCCTTAGGCTTTAATTTAGGGCTGATTGCATGGCTAGATGTTTGCATTCTTGCCTACATGTGCTTCTCAGTTTTCTCCCTCCCTCTGCTCAGATCTCTTACCTCTGCTTGGAAGCCTTCTACCAGAATGGCAACAAGAAGGTTGAAGAGCACATAATTGCCGAAGGTCATCAGGGCCACAAAGTAGAGTGCTGCCCATGAGGATGTAGATGCCATCCCATTGTACAGGACCACGTTCCAGTCCTCTTGAGTGAGGATCTGCAGAGAGGTGAAGGGGAAGACTCTCTAATTACTCCACTCCGCTCATGCACAGCAGCTGCATTCAAATACTGACTCATCCATTTCTTCCTCTCCTTTTGACCTTTTCTGAGCATAATCATTAGCAGGTCCCATGATGAGACAGCAAAACACTCCTCTATTTAGACCTTTGCATGTGAGAGCTCTCTCCTGGCCAAACCTCCCCTCCCTGCAGGAAAATCTAGCACACCGCTGCCCATAGAGATGATGTTCAGATCCTAAATACGGTAACATGAAGGATGTGCTGGCATGAGTCTCATTATTTGGTTGCTGTGTTGCCTCCTTTGATAACCATCAGAAGATAACAGACCTGAGGCCAGAGCTGTTGTCTCCTTTCAGGCAGCTCTTTATAAGGCCACGGAGCTGAAGAAAAGGGTAGGCAACATGGTATTTGATGAGATAAATGACACTGGGTGGCTCAAGAAACTCAGGGAAGCAAAGTGGTTTCCGTTAGGTAAAAGCACTGACAAGCTGGGCAATAAAAAATGACACATCTTTGCAAAGCCTTGCTCCGAGGGACCTTCCTCAGGGATTCCCACTCTCCTAGCTTTTCTGGAGCTCAAAAATCCCGGGGCCTAAGAAAAATGGATGACAGATTCATGGTCCACATTAATTCATGCTTGCAAAGAAAATGGCCTCTAGCCCTCCTGAAAACAAGGTAGCTTTGGGGATAGGAATGCAGTCAGCTCCACTAAGTCATGCCACTCATTAACCGTCACGGGATGTTGGACTGAGCCCTTGTGCTCTGTGCCAGCTCTATTTCCCAAGGGACTGTTAGAATAAATGTAGGAATCTGTATTTTGTCGGTAAAAGAAAAACGTGGACCTGTGAGACTATGCTGAATTGTCCTTGCTCCTTTGTAAGGAGGAGAACTTTGCAAGAAGTTTTATTCTTCACAGTGAAGACTCTGGACTGGTTTCTACCTTGAATGATACTGTGACCACCTCCTCTGCATTTAGGAACTTAGCTTAACATTGCTTATGTTGCGCTCCACTTGCTGCACTTGGGCTCTGAAGACTGAACTTTTAACTAGAAAAGTCTAATCTTTATATTAAGAATCTCCTGAAAAGAGCAGCTTATTGCTCCATTGTGGAACATGCCAGCGATTTCAAGCACATAACAGATCTTGTCTGCAGAGGAAACACAGCGTTTTATATAAAAGACCTTCCCAGCATATAAAGCCAGCAACTCCAGCTCTGCTTTGAGACAGTATTTACAACTCACAGTTAAATGAAATTGCTTGCAAAGTGCATTTTTGTGGCAGTGAAGGCAAGTAAGAAGACAGAGATCTACAGAATAGGAGCAGAATGGACAGCAGACTCTGGGTCCTGATCTTACCGACTGTATGAAATAAAGGTGGATTTCCAGGCCTTCTCAGACTTTTACTGACAACAGATATGCACCATGATGATTTTGAGGAGTTTACTTCTCTATCAAGGCTTATAGAAATCAGCTAACTCAGAAACACAATCACTTTGCCTTGATAACTCTACAGTGCTGTTTCAGTCCAAATTTGACACCTATTGGAATAGTTTTTCTTTAAAATGAGGTAACATGTCCAAGAGGTCTACGGTAAAACTTCCTAGAGGATCCAGAGCTTACCTGAAATACGGTCACGATGGCCCAAAGTAAGGAATCAAAATTCTTTCTATCTGGAACTGTGTCTCCTGTGTCAGTTTTCAGGCTGAACTTGCATCCAAAAAGATGCATGCCGAGAATACTGGAGTGGGGAAAAAAGGGACATGGAAGAAACACATTATTCTAAAAAATACAGGTTGCAGGGAGGATAGCAGTGATTTTTTGGACACTTTTCCTGCCCCAGTGTTTTGTGTGCCAGTGACATCTCCCAGGAAGAAGGGCTCTGCTCTATCACTGACATGATCACTGATCAAGCCCTGCCAATTCGGTTCTTGTGTGACATTTCATTACAATTGTCTATGCTGAAGTCAAATCACGGACCTCCTTTGTCCAGAACACGACAAACCATATTGCCAGCTCCCTAATCCAGCTGGTTACCAAGAACAGGATCCTGAGGAGCATGATAGACAGACAGAAGTCTTGGAATTTGTATAACTTCCATCTCACATAAAAGACTGGTAGAGTCAAGCTACTGACAGCTTCCTGAGACAGAGCTAAACGAGCTTTCCAGGAACTCCAGAGCAATTGTTGCCTGTTTGTGCATTTCATTCATGTACAGAATTACAGGGCTGCATGAAAAACATATCAAAAAGAGGTAAATAGTCTGTTGAGTGTCTGCTTGTCAGTCTATTGTTAGTAATTCTATCATGTAGGCTGTCTAGCAAAGGCAGTGTATTGTTATTCTAATCTATATATTACTTCAGCTGAGCAATTAATTGAAGAAGAGCTGCAGCCACTGGTACCTGAAGATAAAGATGAAGAGCATGAGCAACATGCAGAAGGTGGCTACGTTGTCCATTGTCTTCATCAGGACCACGAGCTGGCGACGGAGGGCGGGCATGAAACGCACCAGTTTCAGCACCCGGAGGAGCCGAAAAGTTCGTAGCACAGAGAGGCCTCCGTCCGACTGGCCGATGATCTCCCAAACGCTGCAGGAACACCAGAAGGAGAAGAACTATAAACAGCAGTACTGTACTGCGAAAGCCCTGAGTAGGCTGGCTTCTTACAGGATATCACAGCATTTAAGCTCTAAAGGGGTAGTTTATTTTCTTGCTTCTGAAAAACACCTTCACTTCCCAGTTGTGCAGAAACATGCTCATGCACAACCTATATAGCTGTTTTTTTGATTCTTTCATTCCCTTGCTTGTTGTGGCTCTTCACAACACAGCATGTCTCCTGCTAGTCTGCATCACTACAATCAGTCACAAGCCTAGCCACAAAATGTGGGTCACAATTTTGTTCCAAGCTAATATTCCGAAGGATTTACATGTGTTGGGGTGGGTTGCTTTGATCTGGCCACAGACTGGCCTTTGTTCTGGGACTCTGTTGCTCCTTGCTTCTCTGGATCAAAGGGAAGGCCAACTGAAGGCAACAGCACTATCCTGGTTTACACCCTCTGTATCCCCCTTGACTTCTCTGCCCTAAATTACTGATTGAGGGGTGAATAGCACTGCTAGAAAGCACCCCAGCATAGAGAGATTCTGCACAACCTTCTCATTTGTGTGCTGTGACATCCCCAGTTTAAGCTGGAATAGTGTTCCCCTGGGAAAGGACAGCAGAACAGTCCCTTCTCTTACTCTCCTGCTTGCCCTGTTCTGGCCTGAGTTATGTCTTAATTTGGGAGAGGGAGGGCATGCTGCTGAGATATGGACACTCACAGTACTCCTTTCCCAGGACCAGCCATTCTACACTTCAGTGGAAAATTGACCACAGTGCCAGATGTGTGGCATAAATAGACTTTGTGCTCCATCTGCCAGGTCCATTTACTTTGGACAGCCCTTCTAATGACACGAATCTAAAAGGCCAACATAATTATAGGACATCATAGCCAGTGAGCCTTGTATTAACACATGCCACGTCATTCCTGTTCCCCATCCCACTCCCCAACTGGTCTGAGCCCTCGGCAGAAAAGCCACAGCGGAGAAAGAACTGGCAGTGACCTGATGACAACTATGATCCCGTCAAAGATGTTGTATGGGTTCTTGATGTAGCCGAAGAGGCCAAAGGCAAGGAGTTTCAGGAGCATCTCCAGGGCAAACATGCTTGTGAAGACGATGTTACTGATCTCCAAGGCGTTGGTCAACTCATCCGGCTATAGGGCAAAAAAGCAACATGATCAAACACATGCACAGAGAAAATAGCTAAAGGCTGGTATGTTCCTCCCACTCTGGGATTTGTGCTAGTGGTGCACAAATGCTACATCTTCCTGTGTTCCTTCTGGAGAGCCGCAGAGGCAGATAAGTGTCTGAAGGGAACAGCAGACAAGCCTCATGGACAGCCCCAGTGAGTCTTCCTGGAAACACAGAATCCCAAAAAATTTCTGGAGCAGTTGCAGAACTGTGCCTGATATACAGGCCCAAAAAACCAAAGTTATGCAAAGCGGAGGGCTTGTTCACTGCTGCAAGATACAATTATCCAGGTGAATGGCTAGTATGGCTTTAAGGCTTCTATTTCGACTTGTGTTGGACAGGCTGTTTTTATTGCACTAACCCCAGCAGAGCTTTATGGATACTGCTATGCCCAAAGCAGGAGCACTGTTAATACAGCATTCATACACAAACAAGGCACTTTTCTTGCAGATAGCTCTTAAGAGAATTAGGAAGACAAATACCAGTGAAAGTCAGTAAGATCAATAGCTTTATCTCCCTTGTGATATTTATCTCCCTTTGGAAACTGTCCCCAAAATCCCCCAAGATGATCTTTCCTTCCGAACTCCTGGTTAGTAATATACAGCAGGTTCTGTTAAAATGACAGCAGCATGGCCCTGAGTGTCAGGATTCCCTCCAGGATCAGTGCAGGTTTTTCTGAGGGTACAAGACCGCGTGCACCTTAAATCCAAGAGCTGATTTTTCCATTTCTCTCCTCTATTGCCAGCACCAAATTACCTTGGGCTACAATCTTGCTTTTCAGACAGAACCTTAGATGGTCGTTTCCTGGGAAGCACAGCAGTGTCTGCCCAGCACCCAGGCTCCAAGACGGCACAGCAGGGACGGATGCAAAGGTGGGATGGGGTTTGCTCACTTACTGGAGCTAATCCCTCAAAAAGCACAGGCTCTGCAATGCGCATTTCTACTGCTCAAGGCCTGTTCCTTTGCAAAGAAAATGAGGCTTTTTAATTTCCTCAGTGAAATAATATTGTCTAGAAAAAGGTGTTCTTTTCATATCTGACTCATCTCCTGACTGATAATAGCTTCCTTTATTCCCCATCCGTCATTAGACACTATGTTAAAAGCTGGTAGTTTCTTGGGGATGTTGTTGCAATATTTGAGGCTCCCAAGGGAGAAGACCAGTGTAACACTGTGGCACAGCCACGTCCAACTCTACACCCTGCAAGCCGAATCCTTGGCTACTGAAGGAGAGGGTGAAAGAGTTAAATCGAATGCAGGAAGAGCCCACACATCCCCTACTATGGGCAGCGACAGTCTGTGAGCTGCTAATGAACCATCTTTCTTAGGCTAAATTACTTCATGCAATAGGCTGTCCTTCGCTCATCCATTTATCCAGGAGAAAGACCACTAAGAGCCTCAGCCCCCATGATTATAATCTATATACGCTAATTGCTAAGGGACACCAGGGGAAGGACTGGGCAGTTTTCGGCTCTTCAGTCTCTGGGAAGGGGTGGCCTGGATGGCTGCACAGTGCACCTGGACAGCAGGATCACCGCCTGCCCTCCTCACACCCTCCTTGCTGCAGGGACGGTGATCCCTCCCCAGCATCAACCAGCGCTCGGCCGTGCTATTCCCTTCCCTGCCAATTCCAAAACAACGTGGGCAGAGGTCATGATGGAAACACGGCTGAAGAAAAGGGCTGCTCTAGGATGGCATCTAACCAGCTCCCCAGCAGAGACGGAGCCTGAAATAGCCCGGCGGGCTCCCAGGCACCTGTCCTGCTGTAAGCCACAGCAAGCTCCCAGCATCCTCGAGCTATTTGTCAGGAGCAGCGTGCGGCCGGCACGTTCGGTCTCCCCTCGGTTGGGGTTATACAAGGGCATTCTTGGCAAGAAACAAAACAGCTTGCTAAATTTTTGCATCCCTCCAGTCAGCAGACTGAAGGCTCCTTAGGAAAGAGTATTCATGGCAGGCAGAGGATGGCTCATTAGCATCTTGAGACTGGGCAACTAATGACACAATCACCACCACGGAAGCTGCAGCTTGGGCAGCTTTGAAAGGAAAGTTGCTCTGCAGCTCTTTCTGTGGGGAAACATCGAGAAGTTGCCCGCTGCGGCCTGTAGTACCTTGTCCACATTACAGCAGCATCTCATCCGCTGAAGTAAAACTTAATTCAGAGTTCTCCAGGGTCAGCTTGCTGCTGCCAAGAGTCACAATTCTATCGTGAGAATTGGGATAGCTGGTGATCATTTGAAAATCCCTCATCTAAATATGACAAGACAATCTCTGGTGTCACTACCAAAAAAGTCCATGTCCAGCCTGACAAGCCTAAGCTGAAAAAGCTTAAAAACACCCTCAGGCAAACAACAAGAATTTTTAAATTCTTATCCTCTAAAATCCTTTGTTTTCTAAGACAAGCCCAAGATATTCCTCTGGCCTGTTGAACACATGGTGCTGCAACCACTTAATCTGCCAATATCGTTACCTGAATTGATTTACCCATTTCCTCCAACAACTGGTTGTCATTACCGCTTGCTCTCCAGCGCTGTAACTTTGGCTTCATAGACGGGTTCAGAGAGTGCAGGAGAAATGCCGCAGCCACCTCTCAGGGCAGGGGAGAGAGGGCATGAAGAAGAAAGGAGAGGACAAGGAGGTGGGCTGGATGAGATCATCAATAACTGTGATGAGGAGCTGATCCAGCAGATGAAGCTGGCGGGGGGACGCCTGGGCAAGGTTGACGGACAGCAGGCTGACACTGCAAAGCTGATCATGCCTCAGATGAGAAATCTTCATTATTCGTTAGTGATCACTTTTGGTGTGAGGCAGAACTAATCTGATGGCAAGGACTGCTGTAACGTGAGACGTCTGAAGCGCAATCCCGCAGTGACACGGAGGCAGAACCACGGGTCAAAGACAAGGATGGATAGCCCTGCATGCTGGCTAAGCTGCTGATGTGAGCTTTTGTATTATTAGAGTGGAAGCTGAACAGCAGAGGAGCCAAACATCCAGCGATACAGCCTTCAGATGTAATTACCTTCTTTCAACACCAACTGGAGCCTAGCAAACAGCCTGCCATAGATATTTTTATGGCTTATAAAACGGTTTGTTGCTTAGAGCACAATTCATTTCCCACTTCTCTCACTCCCTGATGAGCAAAGATCTAGGAGAAGGGTCAAGGAAGAGATACTTGAAAGCCAAGATGGATTTGGCCATTCCCCAAGAGTCAGCCACTAGGAGACACTGTTGTTTTGTTCAGATTAGGAATTTTTACAGGAGCCCTTTTCTCAGGGAAAAAAACAAAATGCTGATTTGCTGAAAACAAAACTTTTCATGGCAAGGATTATTTTTGTCAAACTTCCTGGCTGGAAGAAAATGAAGTCGCAACAAAGCTTTAAAGTTGCTGCAATGTCTTGTTTTGACCTTCTCAGAAAAGGAAGTTGCAGGCTTTTTGCTTGACACGGTGTTGTGTCACAAAAATTCCTTTCTAACAAAGAATGGTTAACGAAGTTGGCATCAAAATGATGCACTTCTAGAAGAGTAGCTATAAAGAGGTATTTTTTGCTTTTTGCCAAATACTTTGTAAAGCTTAACAGTTCTGAGAGGGGAAACTACTTGTTCACCATAAGGCTCCAAACTGTGCCAGTGAAAACTTCCTTTTTCAAACCACAGCGCGAGCCTGACCCCTCCTCAAGCTTCGCATATCTCCGCATCTTTTACTGCTGTGAGGCTTGACCTCTACATTGGTCCAGGTTTTCAGAGACAGGCCAGGCCACATGGCAACCAGGTGGTATTGCAGGAGGCTGCAAAATGCTCAGGAATCCCCACAACGGATGCGATGCCGGAGATGGCGGGCAGCGCTGTCATGCTGGTACAGGGGTCCGCAGTTCCAGATGGGGAGGCTGGAATGGGAACTTCCAAGCTGGAGATGGTCAGCAAAAATGAGCACAGAGAGTGGTTTAAACCCACAAACCTCACTGGCAGGTCCCAGACAACGTTCAAAAAGGGTTCAGACCTGAGTACAAATTGTATAGAGTTCAGATTCAAATGACTCCCCTCGTACTTTGGCTGCAGGAGTTAAGTTTCTCACTATTCAAGACAAGAGCAGAAACTGTATGGGATCAATTTGTAAGATTTCAGCATTCTTGAATATGAGTTTAAAGTAACAGTTAGCCTTGACTCCAGGCAAAACATGTCCCAGGAAAGCACAACCACCTCTGCTCACTTTGAAGGCCGTATTTATGCCGTAGAATATTTCAGTGATTCAAACCCATGTTTTTATTAGGGACAAACCTCAAACGTTTCAGCAGTTCATTCCAAGTTCAGATAAACAGACAAAAGATCCTTTTCTAAATAGTTTGGGTCTGAAAACCTCGGAAGACTAGTCTCGCTCTGAGAATCTGATACTTCTGGTTTTAGCAAGATGCAGCGCAGTGCCAGAGCGTTTCTGGAATTGGGAGAAATTCAATAAAAGAGAAACCCATAATGGTCAAATTATTGATGGTTCCTATGAGCACAGTATGAAGAACAGGAGTAGGGCTTTGCTGCCTCAGATTCTCTTTGTGCAAGTGAATTACTGCAGGAATTCAAGGAAGTCGCTATCTCTTTGTGCTTTTCTTCTTCCTCTTGCCTGTCTTCTACTTTGTCTCTTTTGATTGCTGCGTTCACAACTACCTATTTTACACAGCTGAGGTTCAGGCACCAGCAGGATGGCACCACGTCTTGGCTGGGGCACCTTTCTGCTCTGATATTGAGTAGAAATCATCATATCAGCATCACACTGGA